GCCATTGTGAGAAGATGGTGAATCAGACAACTAAATTATTACGGTAGGTCTTATAAGAAGGTCGTTCAGATATCTAGACGGTCCATCCCTTGTAACGATCTTCAAGAGTGAGGTGCTTTCCCATCCCAGAGTACTGTCACCGTCTGATACTCGAGATATGCTAGGGACTGTCAGTTGATAGCAAATGTCCAAAGAAGGGTCACTAGGCTGGTGCCAGCACTTAGGCACCTCAGTTACCCTGAGAGATTAGAGTGCCTGCAATTGCCTAGCTTATACTACAGACAGGCAAGGGGGGGGGTGGGGGCTAATTGAGGTATGGTATATAAACATTTGAAAGGGCACTACTCAGTTGAGTGTCCTTCCCTGAGGCTGGCGGACGCTAGCTCCACAAGGGGTCACAGCTCAAGGTTGAAGAAGCTGTACTGTAACAGCACAGGGTGTGAGCTCTTTAAAGACCAGACTTGACAAGCACGAGCAGGTTCAGATACATTCAAGAACCAGTGCATGCCCAGTACTTGCCAACAGTGCGTAACAGAGATGTGACCGATTGCCCAAGCGGCTAATGAGCCGATCAGTGGTGAAGAGGATAAAAGTAATTTAAATGCTCCCTATCCATGGTTTATGAAAAAAAAAAGCTACCGTGCATACCTAAGTGAATGCTGCCTTTTGTAAAACTGGTATAAGGGATTTCAGATGGGTATGTTGACAATTTGAATATCATGGCCTGTAGTATAGCTTCAAGTGGACCCCTCCCATGGTATTCTCACTGCATTTACTTGAAATACCAGAAAAAATCGTCTTTGAATCTGCAGATAATTATTTTTTTTTATGCTATAAGTGCCATCTGCTCATTCTCTGCTTTCAATACTAGAATTGAAGAGCACAAATTTGTTCTCATTATAAAGGCATCTAAATCTCCAGTACTGTATCGGTTTCTCTTAAATAAATTTCACCCACATCATCAGTATTAACTCCTAGTTTAACAAAAATTACAAGGAGTGTAATACAGTACACAATTGCTCAGAGACTCATTTCAGCCACAATTGCTCCAAAAAGTATGCTACATAATATAAAGTTTGTCACTATAGGAAAAGGTTTTGCAAGGTTCTTCACTGAAGTGTCTTGATGAGTGTGACCAGGTGTGTGTATGATGTAAACTAACCGAAGTCTCATGGTAAATATTGCTGTTGGGCTATTTAAAACACACATCTTGAACACTGAAATGTAATTGCATTTGAGCAAATCCCATTCATTTTCCCCTTCATTATCTTTCTCCCCTGTACTTTTTCTCTCTCCCCCTCCCTCCCCCTCATGGCTTGCTTTTTGGGGGGAAGGGAATTATATCTAAATATTTGTACTGTAGATAGCAAAGATAGAGAAAAGGAGATTAATTGGATAATTGGAAAGAAGAGATAACTGACAAAAAACTTAGTTATATACTGTAGTATATTAAATTAAGAATAGCTTAAAAGTTACAATATTCAGTCTGTACTGTACATACTGTACATTTTAAACTGGATTCTCTCTTTAATACCTTATTTCCTACTTCTAAGTTGTTGGATGTACAAGATGTGTATTGCTGGATCTGTGAGGAGGACTTTTGTTCCCATGTACTGTACCATTAGTACATTTCCATTATTGTATATGAAACACATCTTGGTTGTGACAGGTTTTACAGGTTTGCCAACAATTATTTCTATGAGAAGGAATTATTAGACATAATGGCAATCAATAATTTTGTAATAATAAAGAGGAAACATATTCAATGGTGTGAATACTGCAATTTGCCTTGTGTCACTTACATGTGCACAACCATTTTTCATGTAAAATTCATGATTTTCTGTACTAGAGTAGGCCCAGATACATAAGGATGTGTAAGGACACCATTATTTACTGTAAAAGTGGAACAGTCAAAGAGCCTGTATGTTAAGAATACTGAACTTTAAAATTTCCTGTGTTTCATTAATCCTGGCTTTAGTTTATTGAGTAATCTATCTTTCTTTAAGTTTGTATTAATTGCAATTACAGCCAACTGCAACAGTCTATAAACGGTATGCAGTTGAGAGCACTGTGCATTAATCTCCAGTTAGCCGTAATAATTGCTGTAGAGCAGTACCGGGATTAAGAGATTTCTGGAATAAAATGCACATCCCCAGAATTTTTCCAGGTACAGTACTGGGGAAAGTTTTCAAGGTCTAAACTATGCATCTCGCATGGACAGACCAAATTTAAATTCGAATTATGAGAGAAAAATACATTGGTGTAGTGATAGAGATCCCCATTCACACACAGGTCCAGGATTCGATACCCGACTAGTGAGGTATTGTATATATATATATATATATATATTATATATATATATATAATATATATATATATATATATATATATATATATAATATATATATATATATATATATATATATATATATATATATATATATATATATATATATATATATATATATATATATATATATATATAATATATATATATATATATATATATATATATATATATATATATATATATATATATATATATTCAAATGTTCTTAAGCCAATTTTGGCCTCAAATTAGATTCTGTTCAAAATATCAGTACAGTACTCTACTGTAGGTACTCACGAAGATGCTGATTCTAAATCTATGATCAATTACTCGATTGCAGGTTAATTAGTGATTGTAGTCGCTTGGAAGATTTTAATTACATTTTTTCAATGCTAATTGCTTGCTAACTATAGGTTCCGAGGTTTCTTTTTTATGCTTTTGAGTTATTCTGGAAGTGCTTAGATAAACAGCTTAAATTCCAATTCCAAGAGAAAGGTATACTGTACAGTACTGTATATTACTAGTTAGTGGGTAATTAGCATTGAGAAAATGTCTTTAGAATATTCCAAGCATTATTTTGACCACTAATTACACAGCAATCGAATTGTCGACCATAGAATCAGAATCAGCATGCTCAGGAATATTTTAACCAAAGTAAACTTTTCCCTCTGAATTGAAATTTAAGGGGTTTAACTAATTAAGTACTTCCAGGGCGGGTGTTGTACATAAATTGAATACAGTAATTTTATATTGTCATTTATCACAAGGAAACAAGGAATCATTTGAAAAATTTCTTAATTAAATTTAGTCATATTCTTGAACATACATTTTCTAAAACCAACAGCTGAATTCAATATGGGTACCATTATGAAAACAGTAACAAGTAGCTCAACCAATCTGTCTTTATTTACAGTCATAAAAATTACAATCATTAACTGTTATGATCACAATTAGCAGAAACCCTACAAGGTCAATTCACTACAGAAAACTACAGTTTATTTTATTTATGTGATGCTTATCAATGCACCAATAAATAATGATCTACAGTATAAGCAAAAACACATAATTCACAAAATGTTAAGAGTTATTAAGAGCAACCAACTGTCAATAGCTAAAGTTTGGAAAAGATGTAAGTTCCCACTTTTCTGGCCTTGGAGGGTACAAGGTGACAAAAATACAGATAAATACATCACATTAAGTACTCAGCACTGGTAACTAATAAGCAAAAATTTAAACACTTGAAAGGTTCTTTATAAAGAACGAGGCATCTACTTAACTTATGAGGCAAGACAATTGCCATTTATGGTACTTATTTTAACATTTATTAACCCTTAAAGCCCGGGCGACATAAAACCTGCCGGCCTCCCCACATGGGCACATTTCGGCAAAAAACAAACAAATACTTATTCCACTATAAATAAACGGCGTTGCTTAAAAATAAATAAATGTAATATAAATCAAGAAAATGAAGAGCATGGATGTGTATGTGTGAGAAGTGAACATATGTGGAGGTAGTTATAGCCAAGGCCTTAGTTAGCCAGCCACATATAATGTTACTTGTACTGAAACTATAAAAGTTGTAGTAAAACCATTATGGTACAAGTACAATACTCTAATGTGACTTAGAAATATGGGAAATATAATATAAAACTATAAAATAAGAAAAAGGAAGTGCATATGTGGGAAGTGTGTGTGTGTTGAGGCGATGGGTTACTGGGCTATAACACGTCTGTGAGTCAGCTGGTTGACTGCCTGATGAGGGTCCATTGCACAGAGGATGGTTTAAGTGTGGAAATAGCTATTTTTAATATAAAATACGTGCTATTGTATTTTATATGTATCAATTTTATTGTTTATCTTACTTATAAATATGGCAGCAATAATTTACTGAACAGAGGTTGAAGGACATGCATCCCTCACGATAGTTGGCGGGTAACTTAATACGAGGTACATGTCTTGAGACAAAGATTACATGTGACGTGAATTGTCAATTAAACAACTATCCAATACAAAGTATTTCATCCTGCCTGGACATTCAAAATATGCTTAAAAAATTTAGAACATTGAGAAACGACATCCGAGCTTTAAGGGCTAATGTATGAAAAAATGAGTGCTCTACTGTGTGTAGTATGGAAGTCTCGATTTACTAAGGTTTGCTCAACACCACTTGTGGGAAATGGAATTTTTGTGACAAAGTTTGGGAGCTTTGATGTAAAATTCCAAATACTGTATAGTCTGGGTTTACGCGGTCAATTAAACCCATGGAGGTCCGCGTATAACGCGAAACGCGTAAACAAAATAACAGAACATATGGGATTAATTGAAATAGAGACTGGGCCGACCCCCAGACTACCCTTTTTCCGACACAATACGTACGTTGTAGTAAAAATAACATCTTAATTTTATGATGGTATGTACACACAATTAATATACAGGTATAAGAGAAAAATCAATAATATTAGGTTTTTTAACACTTACATTAGTAGAAGAGATGGCTGGGCACACAGGAATGGGGGGCTGGTTCTGAGGCAGAGGGCAGATTATTGGCCCTCACATGTCACTTGTATCACCTGTATCACTATCCACCACAAAGGCTAGCAGGTCCTCCTTGTCAAACCCCTCAAAGTCCATATCCTCACTATCACTGACTTGGGCTGGCTGTGGTGGGTGACGGGTTAAGAACTCGGTAATGTTTTGTTGACTGGGCAAGCAAGGTTAAATAGACCAATCACAGCTCGCGGCGGAGGGGATGCGTGGGTGGTAAGGATACGTGGCCCAATCACAGTCCGAAACGTCATCGGTGACATCAGAGCGACCTAGCGCGCAGTTTGCCCGCGCCGCTTCCCACATAAATTCAGGAATGTACGGCGTAACTAATAATTGGCGCGTCTGGACAGGTGCCGCGTAAATGACCAACCGCGTATAAAATATCCGCGTAAACCGAGACTATACTGTAGATGAAAATAAGCACTATCTCACTAAGGATACATTGGATGGGATGCACAAACTTTCATAAATTACTGCTTAGGTTTCTTTATAATGTAACAGTTTAATATATGCAAAGTAACCTACTAATAAGACCACTATTAAGCTTAAAATAATTCATCAGTGATGGTAACTGAGCATAACTTTATAAAGAAAAAGTTTTCTCTACTTCTTTGTGCTCCAACTCTGCAGCTCAAGATAACTGTTCTTTATATCTGAAACTTATTACAAAGTTCATAAGTACTGTTCGAGTTAAAAAAAAAGTTAACAGGTTACCGATTTTTCCGAGAACTATGATGCTGCTGGTTGGGCAGGAGTGTCGTGTAGCTTGAGATAAGTGCCATCAATACTCCTACATTGCAACAGAAAAAAGCAATGCCTTCTAACCATATGGGTACAAAAGCATTGATAGAATGAAATTCCAGTAAATATGCTGGAAGAAGCCATGACACTTGAGCTGCAATCCACAGCATAGACAGGAGTACTGCTTTTTGCCAGGTCACCCTCAGCCGTGGCACCACAATAGGTAACAGAAGAAGATACCACAAGAAATACTGTGATGTTACTACCTTGTTGAATGTAACAAATACTACAGTTTGTGTAAACATTGCAAATGGAACATCAACACGGTTGCTGAATTTATATCCAAGAGCAAGTAACAGAATTATTTGAGGTCCAAAAGTGGCAACATTTAACCCTGGAATATGAAAATCTGCACCAATGTACAGGAGGTAAAAATATATTGAAAAATTATGTCTGGTGTCTGTCCGTGAAATGTGGTACAAGAAAGCTTCCTCAATATATTGTTCCCCGTACATTGCAAATCCCATACCTGTAAGACCAAAAAATGAGATGAGTGTACCCATCACAAGTTTCATTTTGGAATAGGTTGGCAAAAATCTAGTCCAAAAATAATCCTGATGCAAGTCACTGGTTAATGATAAGTATAGTGGAAGACTGTAGATAATTGGGTATAGTTTGAAGTGTATGGATGTCCCTAAGAAAAGACCAGCAAGAAGATTAAGTCTTAATTTCATCATGTACAGTGTAAACAGCACTAAAACAGCCATGATGGCTTCTGCACTTCCCCGTGTAGATACCCCAATCACCAGAGGGTTGTATAACCACATGAAAGAACACTTGAGGGCAGCCAATTTGCTCTGTCCATCACGTAAAAGTACCTCATATATTAGCCTTGAAGCAATGCAATCAAAGAATGAGAACATTAATTTTCCAAAAGTACTATGAATATAAATATTTGGTAAAAGCATCCAGGCAAGAAATGGTGTGTACCGATAAGTGTGTCGATCAAAAGGTGATCCTCCAGCAGCTATCTCACGTGAAGCATCAGTAAAAACATGGTAGTCAACATCTGTGTATTTAAGGGTGCTTGTCTTGTCACGATGCTCACCATACACAATAAATATTAATCTAACCAAGAATCCTAGGAAGAGATGGATCTGGATTACCTCAGTTGATCCAAAGCGTGAGCCTCTTGTGCCTAGACCCATTGTGATGATTTTCCACAAAGCTCCTTGAGATATTTAGTCTAATTCTCCTTCAAGGAGGTACACATTTAACACCACAATACTTTGCTATCAACTAAGTGCAGTTGCATATATGTGTTTGAATTTGATTGATATAAAGTCAACTGTACAATCACACACCAAAGAAGAATACTTTACAATCACACTGACTTCATGGGAAAAGGAACATACAGTATTTGAGAACCAAATTACCCCTCTGGCTAAGTGGAATACTGTACCCGTACTTCACAATCTTGTTTTCATCTTTCTGGCAGCCTCCATGATGCACTTCTTGAATGATGAAAATTCTGCAGCACAATCACCTTTAAGAATATTTTCCTTCAGTGCTACACAGCGTGCATATTCCACTGCAGGAGATCCACATTCAGCAACAAGCTTGGGGTACATTCGAAGACGGCTTTGTGCTTTTTTAACAGATTCCATTGTGTCAAGCTCTAATGACTTTAAAAGCTATAACCTCTTTCTACCTTTGCTCGAGGTCCTTGTTTGCCTTCCTTTATCAATGCATCATAAAGGAATCTGCTAAAAAATATTCCAAGTCCAACACCAATGGTAATGACCTGGAATTTTAGAGGATTGCGCTGAATCCAAACTTGAACACGCCCAACTTTCCTCTGTTTCTGGCCCTGTAGGAAGTAAGACTATACTAGAGCAGTAAATAAATAAAAATTACATTAAAAATATATTAATAACAATATACTGAATAAACAAAGTACAGTATTATGTTTCATGCTGTGGTTTAATTATCAGGCATTAAAATTTTTCACCTACAGGGTATTTTCACGCTAAAAATTCTATCAATCTATGCAGGTACAATATACGTAAGTATGGAACTAAATGAATAATGGCAATTTATGGGAATAAAACAGTTTAGCATTCATCTAAAACTAAAAGTCACAACCAAGCTGACCATGGGTTATACAATTCAAGAATGTGTAGCATAGAGTATCCCTATAAGCAATGCCTACAGTTTAACGGTGTTACGAACTCATTTTAGCTGCTTACCAGCTTCCACCACTGGTTACCAACAATCAAGTTGTATATACAGAAGCAGTAGATATATCACAAGTGTCGTCAAATTACCACTAGCTGTCCCGCCAGTCTTTAGTAATTTCCTGACAATCGGTATCAGCGTGCAGTAAACCCTCGATAGCTCGGCACATATGGGGCTCTGGCCTTGCCGAGTTATCCCAAATTCCAACTTATCGAGGCACTTGCCCCCTCCTACAAAAATACAACAATAAAAAATTATCGACCCATATATGTGTACAATCAAAGACAAAAGTCGTGTCACGGTTTTGTCCGAAAATTAAATATAACTCGTGAAACATTATGAGAGCCCCTACCACAAGTTTAGCTCTTCGGCATATGTTTTCACCAAATTTCACGACACTACTTTTGTCTTTCATTGTACAGGTAATTACTAAATGTAAAAGAGTAACACTTACCAGCACTGCAGGCAAAGAATCATAATAGGTGACACAGATGCATGGTAGGTGACACAGATACATGGTAGGCAACACAGGCATGGTAGGTGATGCAGGTGGATATGCCGAGATTTTCCCAGATAATTTTACATATCTCGGCATTTCCCGAGTTATACTAATACATTCCGAGACCGTATCCATGCCGAGTTATATGAAATTCCGAGTTATCAAATGCCGAGTCATCAAGGGTTTACTGTACAGTACAGACAAACAACAGGCAGAAAAAAAAAAAAATAAATACAGTAAATAAAAAAATACACCCCCTCCCCTCTGCATATGTTTGCACCCCTGGAACAAGGTGCACGATTTAACCAATCTAGAATATAAACTACATTGGTGATATAGGCATTCCCTACAGTAGTGATTACCTCTGCTCCATATTTTTTAATACGGTTCCATACCTGATCAAGATATGGCCATGATAGAATAGACTCTAATCGATCCTATCACTACATACCGCCTTTGTCTGGTTGGCATGAAGATTAGCCACCCCCAGCTTATTTCCCTAATGATTACCGTAAACACCCTAATACTTCAGGGGTTACGGTGATTTTTTAATTATTTATGAAGTGAAATAAGCCGGGAGCTAATTTTCAGGTGATCTATCCATTTTTATTCCCCTTATCCCCTCCTAGTTTTTTCCTCAGTGCTGTTCAATTTTTTCCTTCAGAGATGTTGGTAGTCTCTCTCTATGAAGCTACTACAGTAAATCCTTGATTACTCGGAATTTCATATAACTCGGCATGGATACGGTCTCGGAATGTATTAGTATAACTCGGGAAATGCCGAGATATGTAAAATTATCTGGGAAAATCTCGGCATATCTGGCCACCTGCATCACCTACCATGCCTGTGTTGCCTACCATGTATCTGTGTCACCTACCATGCATCTGTGTCACCTACTATGATGCTTCTTTCTTCGCCTGCAGTGCTGTTAAGTGTTACTTCTTTACATTTAGTTATTACCTGTACACATATATGGTTTGCTAATTTTTTATTGTACAGTAGTTTTGTAGGAGGGGGGAAGTGCCTCGATAAGTCGGAATTTGGGATAACTCGGCAGGGCCAGAGCCCCATATGTGCCGAGTTATCGAGGGTTTACTGTACATTGACCCTATATACCCTCTTTACAATCCACTTCTGTCTAATACTGGCAGGTCCTTGCCCTGCCTCGCTAACCCCCAGTCTGACTAAGTGAGTAAGTGTTAATGTAGCGATTTGCACTGATCTACCAGGACACGTTTACCTATACGTCCTATAGTATGCAAATAACCTCCTGGAAAAGTCACACATGTTCTTAAGGGATAACCTCACAGGTTCCCTGTTGAATGAACCAGAGGACATAAAAATACTGTACACTGTAGAGAAATCCTACTTTCATTTAGTAAAGAATTTACATAAAGAGGAATAGATTTGGAAATGTAGTCCTGAACCTGTAATTCACTTTACCTGGTATGTTCCTGGTGAGAACTTATGTGTCCTTGAATCAGTCCTGTCTTCCAGATTTAACTTGTATCTATTCACACCTTGAGATACATGACCTGTTGGACCAGATCGGTAGCCTTCAGGAATGGAGGGTTTCGGTGCCTTTATCTGAGGTCCATCAGGTTTAGACATTACTTCTGCAGAAGACCAATAAAATTCAATATATCTCTCAGATATAGCTAGTAATTTAAAAAATATGTTTTAAAAATGTTTATAGCATCCTATTCTGATTAGTACATGAAAATCATCCCATCCGTCAATGATGACAAATGCTCAAACTTTCTACTCTATCAACGTGTTAACCTAAAGTGGCAAATATATAACTACAGTCATCAGAAGAGTGGTAGATCCCAGACCAATATCTTTCTGTCCACCTCTTACAATAATGGTTGCCTCTCGTGTTCGAGGATCCAGCACTAGGGCCGTAATTTTTTTATTATTATATACAGCTAGACCCCAACTTACGACTGCTTTGACTTACGACTGTTGGGACTTACGACCGCCGCAGTTGTGACCATTTTTTTTTTCTTCAAATGACGCACGCATTTTCTATACCGAAACGTTTCCAGTTAATGTAAGTTAATGTAGTCTCCATGTAAAATTAGAAAATTATGGGGGCCCCATGTGCATTCAGCTGACTACATTAAAGGTAAGTGCTCAGTCACACTGTATCCATTCCTCATTATTTATTACTTTCACTGTACTGTATCCATTCCTCATTATTTATTACTTTTACTGTACATGTACTGTATTTCATTGTAGATTTTTTTTTATCTATGTCGGACTTACGACCATTCGGACTTACGACCTGGATTTGGGTCCCTAACCCCGTCGTAAGTCGGGGTCTAGCTGTATATATATATTTTTTTACTGTTACATGCACATACATTTGTTCATAAAAAAGTGCATTTCTTAAAAATAATTATCATAAGGTAAAAAACATAAAGGTAAGAAACATTTCTTACGTGCGTGGGAGTTAGCATACAGATCTGGCGATGGAATGTTTTTTCTTTTATTTTATATCTTATTATTACTTTTATTTATTCCTCACATTTACTGGTACAGTATACAAGCAGCACAGTTCAGTCGGGCAGTTACCCAGTTGACTCAACAGACGTGTGTGATTACTGGCTGTGTATCCTGTAACAATACATAGGAGGAATGGAGAGTGCAGTTGGCTGCAGTTACAGCTCACTGCCTCAGTACATTACATACATTCATTTCCCACACATACACACCTATGCTCTTCAGTTTTCATATTTTATAGATTTATATTATATTTTCTTTATTTCTAAACTACATTAGAGTACTATATTGTATTGTAATGATAAGCAGAGAATCCCCAAATTTTTCTGACTTTCCTCCAAAGTTCTTCCCAGAGAGTCGAATATCGCTCAATGAATTTTGACCAATTGTTAAACAAGAAAGTGCTAAAAATTTTATATTGCTAGGTGAATGAACATTAAATAAGGGCTACCTGTATCATAAAGAAACTTACTTGTAGTTTTTCTCTGCCTTGGGACTAAACCAGAGTGGGAAGAACTGATTTATAAGTTACACAGATTATATAAACAGTAAAATCACAACACTTATTTATCACAGTTAGTCTCTTCTCTTGTTGCCTTCCAATGTGCAAAAATTCAGCACGTGGAGATTAGCTGGCAATGTTGACTGTTCAAAATCCTAGCAGGAACCGAGAGATCAAAATGTGAATTTCTTTTTATATCCATTTAAAGTGACAGCTTACTTGGGTATTAATTGTGTTAGGTGTCTTCTCTGCCTCACTGCCACTATTCTGGTCATCTAGCTTCACCCCAGCACAACAGCCAGACTCTTTACTCCATGTTTTACAACACTGGAGTAATGCAGCAATCTGTGCCTGGCATGCACCTTCTTGGTACTTATTCCCTGAAAATAATAGGTTTTTTAATAGAGAATACCTATTGTGATCACCATGCAATTCTAGCACTTATCACCAAACTCCTTCCACCACTGGAGCTCCCAAGTTGTACCTAATTCTGGCTGCTGAACTGTATGGTAAAGCTCAGTCATATGTTTTCTCCTCACTCAAAAATACTGTACCTTATAAGGCATGCATCCAACACTGTAATGTAACCCTTATATGAAGAACTGACACAAGTTACAATAAAAATAATATTGTACACCTGCCAAAAATCTGTACAAGTTGTACAGTCAAGGAAAAAGGTCCTGTATGTACTGCATCCCATCCATGAACCTGTGAATCCAATACAGTACATCACACATTGTTGGGGCCATTGATGGTGCACTGTGTGATGTCTCGGATTTACAGGTTCAAGAGTCTCAGGGTTCATAGATAGGACAGCACATTATTTTAAAATCTTTGTGAAAAATGATATACTGTAGTCTCTCCTAAATGATTATCTCTTTGAGAATAAAATCCCATATAAACATTGAACACAGCTTAAAGAATCAAGTAAGCATTGACAGGATACCCACCGCCAATTTCTCATAGAATATGAATTTAAAAATGCCGCAATTTCACTGTGTTTTGCAGCAGACACTGTCGTAGTTTGGGCAAATATGTTAAAAAGTAGTTTATTTCTAAATTAAACTTAACCTAACCTTAGTTGATAAGAAGAACAAGCAGCAAAAGCATTGTTAGAAGACCGCACCAAACTAATCTTACCTAACTTCCAAGCTGTGGGGCTCCATCCCCACAGCATACTGAACAGGAAGAACTTACTATGATATGGTATAATTTTAAAATTTTTGTGGATGTGACAGAAGCTGCCTGTACTGAGCCACCCGAGCGGCTCATAAACATACACTGAGCTCAGGAGCATCGATCGGGGAGCTTTACCGATTTATCACTACACAAGATGAAGTAGTGTCGCTAATGAGAGCCAAGGTATTATTTCACTTGCTACCACTAAATGATTCTCAAGAGTTTTATACTAGTTGCACTCAATAATTTTGACAATTTTAAGACACTTTTCTTCAATGTCATTTCTGGTGAAAATTACGAGATATTTAATATTTCATTATGCATGAAAACTTTTTATTATTTTACTTTCGAACATAGCGCGCCAAAAGTTATAAACTACTGAAACATTTAGATCTCCCTATTCTGGGCATTTTGAACCCCATATATACCTGGCGGAAATGGATAATAGCAGACACAATTTAATTGAATTTATTTTACGTATTTTTCAGGTTTTGTCTCTGTGAGGAGATGTTATCGGCACATCAAGCATGCGCAATATTGACTGACGTCATCCAGTCGCTACCAATGATATATCAATATCATCATGCGATTTTTTTCGACCCATCACATTTGAATTTTTTCAAAGGAAGCAACCTGGGTACGGATTTTAATTTCATTGACCAGTCTGACAATGGCCGTGGTGGAGGTTGGTTGTCATTCTTGCTCCTATGATTATTTTAAGTTTATTGTTTAGTTTTACGAGAAAGACGATCATTCTATCCACTCCTAGCTCAGGTATTGTACTTTTGGTTAGGTTTTGATAGGTTAGATGACTCGTTTTCTTCCCCACCCAAAAACCCCGATTTCCCAGGTCTCTTCCCCCATTATTGTTGTGGGGGGGGGGGGGTGCAAAACCGAGTAATTTCCGCCAAAAATTAAGGTCAGATTCGTTTAAAATACACCAAAATACACTGTAAAAACATATTGATCAACCCTGACGGGCTCATGTCAGAAAGAAAAAATTTACCTTTCAGTTGTTACCACTAAATGAATCTTGTGAATTTTAGTTGCAATTAGTCATAAAAACATCAAAACAAATAACACGGTAGCGGGTGTCTCGTCAATATTAACAGCTGTCATATCCAGTATTACCTAATATACAGTTCCGTGCAGAATATTAACCCCAGTCTACCCAGCTAGGAACTCCTGGCTAAGTTACCACTTCCTGTAGGTAAATTGTAAACCTCCACTGTCTGGATATATAGTTTACCTGCATTGTCTGCCTTTAAGTGACGATTATACTGAATAATTATCTATCTATCAACCATTCGCCGGTGTCACCATCAGTACTGAGGTGCCAGGATCCACCGGTACTGCCCTGCACCCCACGATACCTCCATAATAATGCAATAAAACTTCATTATACAATTCCTGATAATTATACACACTCTGCAAACAATCCTGAATGGCGCAGGCTTGCTTTTGACATGGATCCCTCTTCATGAATAATATACAAGACGTAAAGTAAAAGATTCCTTCACAGCCGATGTTTTGGTCTCACACACTCACTTCACTTACTACTACAGGTGGTGGATTTTATATTTTATTTCCTAGGCCTTTTCCTTTAGAAGTTTATATATTATAGATACTATAAGAAGTAATATATATACTAATTTTTTACGAATATTAATCATATAATATTTACCATTGTATACCTTTACTGTTTAAGTATTGTACATTGTTTATCTGTCCTGTCTATGTTTATTTAATGCATATGTTATGTACTTATATAGAAGTTTAATCAATGTTAACTTGAAATGCGATCTTTTATATCTCTTATCTATCTATCTTTACAATATACAATATGTCATAAGGTGGTATAATATAAGTGTCATGAGCCTGAAGGTGTCATCTGCTGCTAAGTATAGAGAAACATCAGTAACATGTTGGTTAAGTCTGGCGGAAAAATAACTAGGCAGTTGTAGGCGTTCCAATCTCTCTGGGTACCTGGTGGTCTTCATTTAAAAAATTCCAATCACCCAACAGTCTGTACTAGCATATTCAGGAGCCAGACGGGGTTGCAGGGTAAAGAATTGGAGATTGTCAACCATAATAGTTTTTTTGTATTGTATTTTTGTAGTTTAAATGGAATCTGGGTTAATATTAGTTTAATGGCTACGGCAATATTTTAGGTTTTGTTAGGTGGTAAAATTATCGTTTTGGTCATGCACCTATTCGGAAGTAACATGTAGGTCAGATTCGCCAAAGTGTACTTTCTTAAGTTTAATCTAAAAGTCCAAGAAACTCCAAAAAATATTAATTTCCACTCAATCTCCCTTTGTAAATATCAATATAAAGTTCTGTGGTAGACAATTTCCGAATCTTACCCGGTTACAGTACTCCAAACGGAAGCATTTTGAGGAACGTTTTAAGTTACGGTATACGGGTTGGACCGTCTAAGGTACTGTACTGTACAGTATGTCAAATGACTAATTATATAGGACTAACCCGCCAGATTTTCATTGTTATATTATAGTAGACACTGTTGTAGTTTGTGGAAATATTAAAAAATTTATATTTTTAAAATAAATGCTACTTAAAATTTGTGGGTATGAAGAACAGACCTAACCAAACAAACCTACCTAACTTCCCCGGTATATTAAACAAAGAATTTACTATGATATAGTGAAATTTGAGGCATTTTCTGGATGCGAAATATGGCCTCATCGGTGCTATGCAGCCCTGGTGGGTTAGTCCAATATATTAACCGTGAAATGCCCTAACTCTCTCTTGAAACCAGCAGGAAACTTGAGTGACTTAATCTTAGATATACAGTACTGTACTGTTTGCCGTCATATATTTCTCTTCTATGATATTCCATGAATTTAACATTAGTAGGTTACTTGCTCTTTTGGCAGAATTCTACTCTGACAGTGAACCCATAACCATTTGTTTGCAAAGCTAATGGTCTACCAATTAGCGATGGAGCCACCTTGTTAATCTCAAGTAAGCATAGAGTACGGTAATTAAAAAAAAAACTTACACATCAGGAAAAGAAAACAATAATACCTATACGTATATATATTTATAAAATTGTAAATTAACATTTGCATTCAAGACAATCATTACTAATGAAGTACAGTCCCTGATACTGTACTGTATATGTTACCAATATGAAAAGTTAATAGAATGATATAAAAATGCCTACTGGTACTTACAAAAACTATCATCATTGTAATAAGATATAAAGCTTTTTTTCACTTACAAAGTATAGGGAATTGTAAACGTGATTGAACATTACTGTATTCTTACCACAGCAAAACATCACGCATTTAAATAATGGCCATGAAATTCACATCACTGTACAGTATTCTAATGTATGAAACACTTAACATATAGCATAAATTAATCTTGCATGGAACTAACCAGGTAAGCTACGAAATACAGTATTGCAATTTATAAAAGACCATGAGTTTGCTCTTCCTTGAAATATACAGTACAGTATTTGACTTTGGAGTACAGTACAAGTACAGGTACTGTAAAATAAAGATGCATATGGAATTTTGCATCTGCAAGTTTTTCAAATTGTTTAAAAAAAGTGGTTAATGAGCACTGGAATTCTAGTTTGAGTTCATTAAGACTATATTCTACTGATTTTATGTTTGTGATATCTTACTGTGAAAGTGTTTTAATGTTGAGTAAATCCATAAAAAAAATTTTCTCTTGGAAATTTTCCATTTACATACACAGTCTGCTGCAACACTTAAATCATAAACTTTTTGTGATCTTTAATTGTAGTACAGTTAGGGTATTTCTTCTTTTTATTGTCAAGTGTTTTGAGTGCTATTGAATTCTTTAGAATAACTAGTCCTTTTGAGAAACAAAAGACCACCCATTAATATTATAAACAGTCTCCTTTCATACACACTCTTATTATCCAGGTTGCTCCTGTGAATATTCTGCTGTTATACTGTACAGTATTGTCTTGTCATACAGCCTTCTGTCATACTCATCCTTCTGCCAAATACAGTCTGCTGCCATACACCAAAACTACAATATTATAATCTATTCTTTAGCAGTCTTACCTAAATTGGAACAGGCTGTAGATGGAAATAACTGAAGCATTGATGTCAAATACGATATGTGCGATTTAGCTTAGAACAGATGTTTATTTATCAGAGAGAGCATAGAGTGATTTAGTAATATGGTACTTATTTCTCAAATAATTTTGTGTTCTTTTTGACCCATTCACTGTGGAGAAGCTACATACAGATTGGAAATATATTACTGTACGTGTTCAAAGTGCCACACTGAAAGTACACCAGAAATTCAGAGCATCTACATTGAATGGGTTAAAAATTAAATAAAAGGTTGTTACTGTTTATAAATATATAACCTTTAAGAAAATTTTTTTTTTAAAATGTCATGGTAATTGAAAGAAAAAATTAAAACATCAATACACAGTAGTATGTACAGTAATGTACTGCCTTAAACCAAGGTATTAATAAAATGTAAAGACCATACCACCTACCTTATGTTATTTAACAATTGTACTACTTCAAACAACATTTGTATACGATCAAGATGGAAAAAAAAATTAATCAAAAACCATTAAGGAAAAGCTAAATGATAGTTCGACACAACTGCAAAACAAATTTTTGGAGATATGACAGCTGGTCTCTCACTTTGCTCCCCCGTTAACTCTCACTCAGACATGCAGAAAAGAAATATTTATTCCATTTATGTTTTTGACCTTATAATTTTTTGTTTCAATTTGTTTGTAGAATTGTGTGTGCATGTATTTTAATTAAAAAAAATATGAAGAAAATTTTGCATATCCCTTCAAAATATCAAGTTGAAAAATATCCATGCCATAACTCAACCTTGAGTTTAGTGGCTACAGTGATGAGTCTAACCTGGTAACACTGCCACCAGCAATGTAAACATATACAAATGAAAAGAAAATTATCTGTAAATCCATCATTTACATCAGGTATTTGGAGATTTAACGCAGCATATACTGTACTGTATAGTGAATGAGATTCTGTTACTCATGGAACAATATAAAGACAGAATCTAGGGGTATGGTAGGCAGGCCCAGGTTAAATAAGCTTACTTGTAAGGTTAGCTTACCACGAGCATGTACCATGTAGCTATCGTTCACCATGAATGACCCACTCACGAAATTGCATGAATATTATTACATAACCAGAACTTATGATTACCAGCTGTATTCTAGTATATACAGGTATTGTATTTACCAGTACAGTATATTCTCAAAATTTTATGTTTTCCTTAAAAATACTTTAAATTTTCAGGGTAGTTTCAAAGATTTTTTTTTTTTTAATTTCCTTGTAAAGTAGGGGTGTGTGTCTTGCAGGCTGGTAAATGCAGTAACTTTAGTCTGTATTTGTGAGCTTTCCTGTTTCTACAGTATAATTGCTTTCTAATGTAAGTAAGTTCTTCCTGTAAGTAAAGGGTGGCTGCTTCACTTACAAGATACACACATCAACATTTAAGTGTTTTTTTTTTTTTTTTGCTACATATACAATGTCTGTGTTGGATCTTAACTTCAAGCAGTAACTGTGGCTAGTAGGCAACACTCGCACACAAAATAATGCATCCACTTCCATTTATGTAAACATATGTTAAGAATGCATGTACAGTGTGTGTGAGTTTGAGGGGATGTTGTTCTTCAGAGTGTGTTACATCCAAACATATATATATATATATATATGCAAGTAAATCACTGTAGGTGCGCGTGATCTAGGTATATGCTGATAACCACAAGGAAAGAAGAAAACACGAAGTTCCCAAGCGCTTTCGTGTAATTCACATCTTCAGGGGTGAGTACAGACTAGAGAGAGTAATACAAATCAAGGTGTATATATACAGAGGAGGGTGAGACCAGGTCCACAATGGTCAGGTATTAGGTAATGACCCTACTAATCTTTAAATAGCACACAACGGTTGGTGGTCAGGTCAGATGGTCAAGTGACCCGGCCTTCTCACCTGATCACAAATCTTCTTAATTACAAAGTTGTCCAGCTTGTACAAGCCGTTACTCAAATTCATGTTGAATGCTTCGGTATGTTTGATAAGACTAGATTCTATGATGTTCCTACTATGACAATACAGGTACTCCTCGACTTACGACCTCCGCAGTTGTATAAAATATTTTTCAAATTACGTATTTTCTAGTACCAAAATGTTTCTGTCCCGTACGACAGCGTGGGATGGGCCGCCTCGTGGTGTACAGCATCCACGCCGTAGCCCGCTCAGTTGGTGTTTGGCCGTCGTTGTTGTTAGAGATCACACTGTGTACTGACAAAATTTTCGTTTCTAATTCCCTTTAAAATGGCTGGCAAGCGTAAAAGTGAGAGTTCTCGTGGTGCTGATAAGAAAAGGAGACAGTCAATTACGTTTGAGATGAAAATTAAACATACCGAAGCATTCAACATGAATTTGAGTAACGGCTTGTACAAGCTGGACAACTTTGTAATTAAGAAGATTTGTGATCAGGTGAGAAGGCCGGGTCACTTGACCATCTGACCTGACCACCAACCGTTGTGTGCTATTTAAAGATTAGTAGGGTCATTACCTAATACCTGACCATTGTGGACCTGGTCTCACCCTCCTCTGTATATATACACCTTGATTTGTATTACTCTCTAGTCTGTACTCACCCCTGAAGATGTGAATTACACGAAAGCGCTTGGGAACTTCGTGTTTTCTTCTTTCCTTGTGGTTATCAGCATATATATATATATATATATATATATATATATATATATATATATATATATATATATATATATATATATATATATATATATATATATATATATATATATATATATATATATATATATATATATATATATATATATATATATATATATATATATATATATATATATTTCATGTAAAGCGTGGATAAGATAAATCTTGATAAAATCCTGCAGGAAAATGGAAACAACGGAGTACTCCGTTGTTTCCCCCTCCTATATATATATATATATATATATATATATATATATATATATATATATATATATATATATATATATATATATATATATATATATATATATATATATATATATATATATATATAATGTACCACATGTTGTAAAAAATATATATATTAATATGTATACACAGTACAGTATATATATAAATAACCTTATTATATTTGACATAATATATTACAATTTCAGTGATAAAACTTGCTGCAAAAGATACTAAAGGAAAATGTAATAAAAAACTTTTTTTCATGTCTTCACCATATTCATTATTCTTACAAAATTATATTTATTATATACTGTACTAAATACCATGTAACAAAATAAATTGGTAAGACCACAAATTTTTGCAAATGTCAGTTAATCCATGGAAATATGATTAATTAAGTTTGGTAAATCCTTGTCCAGTGAGGCACGTAACAATACAGTAGCTCCAACTATGAAAGTTGTGCCACCATCTGTTTAGTGTTAGCATACTGCAGTACCGATGATAGGAGGACCATACCCTGCTGGATGTAATTTTTGCCACTTGCCGTCTGTCAACAAATGGAAAATACAAAAATTATTAAATTTATAAATTTTGGTGATTGTTTTAATTCCTTCATCATCATGATTCATCAGGCAATAGATCGAGATGTATTGGTGATTTTGTTATCTACCCATGTCACGACTCACCTGTAAATAGATATTGGTGATTGTGTTATTAACTTGTGGGTCAGCTGCTGAGGCCCCGGCTGTAATAGCTCCACATACTTGGTCTGCGATGTTTTCAATGCCACCACACACAACATTAGTTAACCTGGGAAATTGTGGTTAAAGAATTCAGAAGAAAGTAGGTGAGAAAATACACTGCATGACTAATTATGACAATACAGGTACTCCTCGACTTACGACCTCCGCAGTCGTATAAAATATTTTTCAAATTACGTATTTTCTAGTACCAAAATGTTTCTGTCCCGTACGACAGCGTGGGATGGGCCGCCTCGTGGTGTACAGCATCCACGCCGTAGCCCGCTCAGTTGGTGTTTGGCCGTCGTTGTTGTTAGAGATCACACTGTGTACTGACAAAATTTTCGTTTCTAATTCCCTTTAAAATGGCTGGCAAGCGTAAAAGTGAGAGTTCTCGTGGTGCTGATAAGAAAAGGAGACAGTCAATTACGTTTGAGATGAAAATTAAAATAATAATGCAATATGAAAATGGAAAAACGGTAGCAACCATTTCATGCAACCTTGGCTTCTCATTTGACGATATCAACAATTTTGAAGGACAAGGCAGAGGAATTTGCTACTATTAATAAGAGGATGCAAATGTTAGAAGAAATGGATCAAAATGTTGAGCAGTTTGCAAAAGTTGACAGACAGATCCAAGATGCACTTGCTTGCTACAGGGAGATTTACGATGAAAAGAAAAGGCAAACTGTGCAATCTAAATTGGACATATATATTAAAAAGTCCCCCACTGCTGTCTCCACGTCCCATCACTGCTGCCTCTTCACTCCCTAAAGATGACCCAATACCTTCAACAAGCAAGTATGTTAGCCTGTCTGAAGAAAGCGAAATTCATGACCCACCCAACCCTGTCTCCTCTGCTTTATCCAATTAATGTAATCTCCATGTTTAATTAAAAAACTGATTGAGGCCCCGTGTGCATTCCGGTGACTACATTAAAGATAAGTGCACAGTAACATTTTATTCATTTTTCATTATTGATTACTTTTACTGTACCGTATTTCATTTTAGAATTTCTATGTATTATTTTCGCATTTTCGACTTACGACCTGGTCGTTGGTCAGGAACCCCGTCGTAAGTCGAGGAGAGACTGTATACAGTGCAGTAATTGATCTTGGGCATTGAAGGCTAACAATCTACACATCTTAAAAACAAGTGTATGTAGTTACAGAAACTTTAACAGAACCTTGGAGTCCAAACAGATAAAATGTTGATGAAATTAAAAGGGAAAAAGAACTCTTGGATTAGTTAATTTTTAAAAGAAATGGAAAGTGATTTGGAGTACAAGCATAAAGCACTGTTTTAATTTTTTATTACAACTTAAGGGAAGGTGTTTAAAGTGATCACCTTCATTCTCTGAAGAGAATATTTGAGCCAATCTGTATATTTCTCAGTACAGCACTGTATTACCCTTTCAGAATAGTACTTTCATATAGTGTACTGTACTCTTTAAAATGAAATAATGTACTCTCATCATCATGACATAAAGGTCAACATGGTGCCCACAGCAACAAATATATCAACTCACTCTTTAAACTGTACAGCAACAGTAAGAGGATCTGCATCAGGGGTGATGAGAGACAACTCTGCTCCCTTGTGAGCCATGGCTGACATCTGTACCACAAGAGCTGCTAATGCTGTATATAATTCACGTTCAGCTGTTGGACCATCAACAACTCCAGCCTCTTGAATAAGTGATGCAGTCTCCTCAACTGAAGACCAAGCCTGTTTATTTGTGAATACAGATTTTATTCCACACTCAACATGCTCTATCATATTCTAATGCAATTTAAGGAAATGCACTCTTTTTTTTAACTTTACAGTGACCCATGTTATTGTGGTTAGCAAGTTGTTCTCACGTGCTATCGGACCTGGCTATTTCCGTGATTACCTTTATAAGTACGTACTGTAACAATAAGATAAGAACACACTGGAAAGTCAGGGATCAGATGTCATTATATTTTCAATTACTGTGACTAAAGAATCCAATCATAAGACTTAAATTTTTTTTGTCAATTCTATATGGTGACCACAAGAATAATACACACTTGATTCATGAAAAACTTTGAATAACATATATAACAGATATGGTTCATTTTCTGATTAGTTATGAGTAAAATTCCTTGGCTCTAAGTGAAATATGAAGCTGAAATTACTTTTTAAGCATTTAAGCTTACCTTATTTATTTTTTGAAAGTGAAGAGGAAGACCAATCTGCGGTACAATATTTGTTACTTGTTCTGCTAAATCTCCTTCCAATACATTGTCTTCCTCCAACTCACATGTGTTCTACAAACAGGAAATATTAAACTAGAGGCAACTTAATTAAACAAAATATTAAAAAAAATTTCTTGTCATCAAAGCAATAAAGCCACACTTCACAATATAACACTAGATGACTGAAATGTGAGATTCTATTTTAATTTTATGACTGATGGTATGCAATGAGTGAGTGAACAGTAAGAAATATAACATTAACTCACCCCTGGTAAAGCTTGCCTCTACCGGAGAGCTTGACATGTTTCAGGGCAGGACATACTATCTGGATGGACAATTTCGTTTACGGTATATATTTTTGCAGGCAGCCGTTTCTCACCCAACTGAATCAGGGTCAATCCAAGGATCCGAGTTCCTATTTATCTGGTGGTTGTCTCGGGACAAGGGAGGCTTCAGATCTTAGATTCAAGTCTTTATGAAGCTATACTCCTTTAAGCCTTAAAGGAAGTTTCTACACTTGCCTCGGTTCCCATTAAATTACAGTCTCACTTAATAGAAAAGAAGTAATACAGATTGCCTTCTTTTATGCTGGTTTTGCAATAACTGAATTTACATTTACACAATTTACTTTTTACTACCCAAATTTCATTAAGGTTCGCATTTACATGGGTGTACATCATGTTTTTCATCCTTTCTGTGCGTAATGCATCACAAGATAAAAGTTTTGTGAGCCAGAATATACTGGGAGTTTGTTGTATGTAAACATTTGTTCTACTCTGACTATTTCATCTTACCACAGAAGCAGCCCTCTGGTAACCTGGAGCTTTACCTGGGAGTGATTTAACAGTATAAATCTTGTAAGTCATAAAAGCAACTAAATTTTTTTGTACAGTACCTTGATTTCAGCATTAGTAGCATTAAGTTTCTCCAACAAATAATGCGGTAAACTCTGCAGCATGGTTCCCAACTTGGATTCACACTGCCTGGCAACCAATGACAGAGCCTCAAGATGCACAGGTCCCTCAGTAGCTTCCCATGTTTGGTCAAAAATAATCCTCTGTGAGTGCTTTGAGTCTTTCCCTCCATCTCTTTGCTCATTCTCCTCGTTAGCTGCTCGTTGCCGTGCTTCTTGCAGCATCTAGAAGGAGCATGTTATGAAAACAAAAAGAAAAGGATTCTCTCTGGTGAAAGAAACCAATTCTGAATGGGCAACATTACTGTGCTGAGAAACATGTATCAGAGACAAACACAATACAGTGTATTAGGATATAAGCCAATTAGCTGTATGAAGAAAGGCAAATATACAACTCTTGAATATTAGAATTCAATTGTGAAGAATTCATCGAAGTAGGCCATTTATGTATGAACTTTACACTAAAATACAGTAAATCTTTAGGAGGTCTTCAATATCGTCACAATAATACCAAAGACAAGTTCGGCTTCCTATTAGAGAGGATCGCTCTCTTTTTCCTCAGTCCAGGATCTCCCTCCTGAATAACATCCATTGCCTTTCGTCCAATGACTTCCAAGGTATCGAGTCCTCCTAACAGCACCTGTAACACAAAGTTATCATAAATATTTAAACTTCCTGATTTCATCCTCTGAACTGGAACAATAATCTATTATTTTATTAATAAATATAGACTGACTTTCATCATGTAAACATGTAACTTTTAACTTTCAAGATAAAAGGTCTTCTTGGTCCTTGCATTCCAGCATACAGTACAGTAGACACTTGCGATTCGTGATTTTGACGATTTTCGGTAAGCAGATGGTGGCTAGCTTGTGATCCTTTTCCTGCAGCACAATGAGTTACCCCACATAGCATCTCGTGTTTTACTTGCAAGACTTTAGTGTTTCTGTGTGAAATGGCCTCTTAATAGACTGCCTAGTGTCAGTGCTAGTGATGCTAGTGGAGTGAAAGGTAAAAGTCATTGATGACCATGACAAAGAAAGTTGAATTATTTGATAAGTTATAAGAGGGGATGAGTGCTGCCGCAGCTGGTCGGTTGTTTGGTACAGTACAGTCATGCGCCGGTTAACGTCTGACCGAACAACGTCCGATCGCATATACGTCAGTTAAAATCGTGACGCCCTGCTGGACCACCGCTCCACGACCCCCTGACGGAGACACGATGATCCTCCCCGTACTGGTCAGATAATTATGTGTTAAAGGAATATGCTTCCTTCCTTAGGCTTTTTTTAAGCATTTGCCTCCAGGTGTAATGTTAACCTACATCTATTGAGGATAAAATCTTTCACCTACAAGTTGACAATAACACATTTGCTGTAATCAGACATATCTAGTTGCCTCAACAATTGCAACCCCAGTTGCAATTGGGGTTGCAATTTCAAATTCTGTGTCATTACTAAGGAATAGCAAAGTCTCTGGTGCACTCTAAGATTAAGAGAGAAAACGGAGGACTCAGGCGTCCTGATGTGAGAGAAAACGGACTCATATGATGGGGGACCAAATAAAAAAAGCATAGCTACATGTTTTGTGGACTACAGTATTAAGCGTACCCTTTTCATCACTTTGTAATAAACCTAGCCATGCCTGTGTGTTTATGATATTTACCATAACATTATATATATATTTAGTGGGTCTAAATGGTCGTAAAATGGGAAACTTGGGGTTGGGTCTTGGGTGCCTGGAACCAATTAGAATAAATCCCATAGGTTCTGTACTTTCGTTATCATGCACTCGGCGGGGTCCCAATTAGGCACGATAACCAAGGGATGATTGTACTGAACTGTATATACTTGTGACACTGGCCAGTTGCTTCTGGTGTTATGGTACAGGGGTTCCAAGTGACAGCACTAGGATCCCGCTTCCTCTATCATGGAATAAACAATTAAAATTTAAATTGAAAAAAAAAAAAAAACATTCAAATAATAGGAAGTAGTGAACCTAAATGGCCCTAGAGCGGGCACAGTCACGTTTACGTCACGTATGCATCGCATATTCTTATAGATTGTGCTGCCAGGCGTACGTTATCTAGTGAATTTAGTCAATATTGTACAGTAACAATGGACCTAAGTGCAAACCTGTATTGTACATGTACTAAATGATTACGGTACTAAAATTGTTATGTCTATTGCAAATATAGCTTGTTTATACAGGTATTCAAATAAATTACTATCTTACAAGAATCCCAGCAATGTAAGTTATATTTACCCAGGTCGTTTGGGTGGCAAATTATGATTAGAGGTTAGTCACTCTTAAGTAATGATAAATAAACACGCAGGCAGGCCTTCAGCGCCAACTGTCAAATCTTATCTCAAATAAATAAACAAACAAACACCAGACATTCTGTCACCTCACCTCCCGCCCCCTCCCCCCTGCTCCCTCCTTCACACACGCTCATGGCTACCTCCCTCCTCGTGTTCCCAGACAAAAGATTGGTGATTTCTTTATGTTTATTTTATATAATATCTCAGACTAAAGTTAGGGTAATATAATTTGCATTGCTGAAATCGTTGCAAGACAGATTAATTTAAATATAAGCGTCATATATTTTGCTCAAGATATGAACAGTGTAGTACATTAGTGTACAATACTGTAGTACAATTATAATAAAAATTTTTCAACTGTATTTTTGGGTAGATTTACATAAATTTCTTCATTTATTTTCATCCATTTACATACACACACCATACTAAAATAAACGTAAAAGAAATAAATGACCTTAGTGCAAAGCTGGCATGCACATGTACTAATTTGATTACGGTACTAAAATTGTTATGTCTAGTGCGAATTACTGCATGTTTATATTCAAATAAATCAGTATCTTACAAGAATCCCAGCAATGTTAATTATATTCTCCTAGGTCATTTCACTGGCATTTTAAAATGAGAGAAGCTTAGTAGGACTGTTAAATAAACACACAGAGACCATCGGCTCAAACTGTCAAACATATCACCTCAACCCCCCCTCCCCCACCCCTCGCTGGCTGGCTGGCTCCGTACCTCTCCCCCAGCCAGGGTTTTAGGCTTACAATTTTTATCTTATATAATATCTCAGACTAAAGTTAGATTATAATTTGCATTGCTGGAATCCTTGCAAGACAGCCAATAATTTGAATATAAATGTCATATATTTTGCTCAAGAGATAAAAATTGTTGTACTGTACATTAGTGTACAGTACTGTAGTATGTTTATAATATAAAATTTTTCAACTGCATTTTTGGGTAGATTTACATAAATTTCTAAATTTATTTTCATCCATTTACATGCACACACCATACTAAAAGAAACGTAAAAGAAATAACTGTCCTTAGTGCAAAGCTGGCATGCACATGTACTAATTTGATTATGGTACTAAAATTGTTAAGTCTAGTGCAAATTATAGCATGTTTGTATTCAAATTAATCAGTATCTTACAAGAATCCCAACAATGTTAATTATATTCACCCAGGTCATGTCACTGGCTTTTTATAAGAGAGAAGCTTAGTCACTGAAGAACTGATAAATATACAGGTACACGCGTTAGACCTTGGGCCGCTGCCAACTGTCAAACATACTACCTCCCCTCCCCCCACACCCCCTCGCTCGCTCCCTCTCCCCCAACTGCCCAGCATTGCTGGAATCCTTGTAAAACAGTGAATAATTTTAATATAAACGTCATGTATTTTGCACAAGAGATAAAAATTAATCACCTGTATCACATTACATTAGTGATTTAAGAGTAAAAGTGTATATGTACGTATATAGTATTCCACATACAAGTAAGTATAAATACAAAGTTTATGTGATGATCGGACAATGTCTATTTCGGTTCACGTCACGTTTCCAAGAACGTATCAAGGACGTTAACCGGCGCATGACTGTATAGGCATACAGTACAGTAGTGCACTAGGGTAGTATAAGTTGCTCTTTGCAGTTTTGCCTATTCATGCCATTCCTTGGAACCTAACCCCTGTGAATAACAAGGGATTACTGTACAGTACTGTTCAGAATTTAAATTTTGTTCAAATACTGTATCATAGAAAGGTCTGTACTCCGTCCACTCCAGGGCCTTTGAATTCTTACAAGCTGGCTTCTTTTCTTTTGATGGTCTCATCTGTAATTGCTCTCTCTGTTAACTCATTTTACACCCCTGAGGTATACATTCTCTTAGGTACTGGCATGTTATCCATGTCTCTTGTGTGAATACTGATGCAGAGTACAGGTACTCATTTACGGTATCAGTTGTTTGTCTGTCGTCCCCCTACCAATTCTCTTTATCACAACCAATTTTTTTTAGCTCATATTGATTCTAAGCTCATACACCGGCTTCACCTGACACAAAGACAAAAACCAAAAGTACAGTCAATGGAATGAAATACTGGACATTGTTTTGTGGAAAAATTAAGCACAAAACTCCAGTACTGAAGTTAGCTTAGCTTATCTGATATATGATCTGCTGTACACTACAAAACGTCTACCTTTGAGCTGGCAGTTTCTAGAACTCCTGAAACACCAGAAACCAAATTTCCAAGAGAGGAGAGGCCACCAAAGCTGTAGTCTACTACACCCTTGCTTCCTTCTCCACCACCATCACTGTTCTTGCCTGCTGCACCATCTTCATTAATGTTCAAACCTGAGGAAGTGAAATTATAAGTAAAGATTCACACACTTACCAGTACTGTACATCATTTTAATTATTCTTTGAATATATAATGTTTGGTGGCATTTGATAAATTTTGCCTGAACATATTGTATTACTATAGGGGGTGTAGGAGCACATTTCTGCAACTGTTCATTATATATAATTCTTAATCCAATTGCTCAGAGGGGCTGATATGATCACTAAATAACTGTACACTATCAGAGGAAGGGAGAGAGTGGGTATATGAGGAAGGGGTGTGATGGTTGGGGATGCATGTGTGGAGGGATGAGTGGTTGAGGTGTGTGTGTGTGTGAGGGAGGGGTGTGTGTGTGTGTGTGTGTGTGTGTGTGTGTGAGGGAGGTGTGTGTGTGAGGGGGTGTGTGTGTGTGTGTGTGAGGGTGTGTGTGTGTGTGTGGGGAGTGTGTGTGTGTGTGTGTGTGTGTGTGTGGGGAGGAGGGGTGTGTGTGTGTGTGTGAGGAGGGGGTGTGTGTGTGTGTGTGGAGGGGGTGTGTGTGTGTGTGGGGGTGTGTGTGTGTGTGAGGGGGGTGTGTGTGTGAGGGAGGGTGTGTGTGTGTGTGAGGGGGTGTGTGGGGAGGGGGGTGTGTGTGTGAGGGGGTGTGTGTGTGAGGGTGTGTGTGTGGGAGGGGGTGTGTGTGAGGGGGTGTGTGTGTGGTGGGAGGGTGTGTGTGTGTGAGGGTGTGTGAGGGGTGTGTGTGTGTGGGGAGGGGGTGTGTGTGTGTGTGGGAGGGTGTGTGTGTGTGTGGGGAGGGGTGTGTGTGTGTGTGGAGGGTGTGTGTGTGTGGGGAGGGTGTGTGTGTGTGAGGGAGGGGGTGTGTGTGTGAGGGGTGTGTGTGGGGAGGGGTGTGTGTGTGTGAGGAGGGGGGTGTGTGTGTGTGTGTGAGGGTGTGGGGAGGGGGTGTGTGTGTGAGGGAGGGGGTGTGTGTGTGGGGAGGGGTGTGTGTGTGTGTGAGGGTGTGTGTGAGGGAGTGTGTGTGTGAGGGGGGGTGTGTGTGTGTGGGGAGGGGGGTGTGTGTGTGAGGGGGTGTGTGGGAGGGGGTGTGTGTGTGGGAGAGGGGTGTGTGTGTGAGGGGGTGTGTGTGAGGGAGGGGGTGTGTGTGTGTGAGGGAGTGTGTGTGTGTGTGTGTGTGTGTGAGGGAGGGTGTGTGTGTGTGTGTGTGTGTGAACACTCCATCACTCAGCTGGCAGTCCACTGCCCACCATGTGGTGGTCAGCCTTTTATCAAACAAATAAACAGAATAGGCTGACCACTCAGAGAAAGAGGTAAGAAAACAGATGAATACAATAAGCTAAACACTCACCCCAACACGCGAGGAAAAAAAGGAGAAAATTTTCTGAATAGACCTAGTGGGATATCAGTGTTTTTTTAATAAAACTACACTATTGTCATATCAGAGCAACTTCACCCTCTCGGCTTTTTCTATTGTTGTGGAGCATTCTGGTGGGATGCTTGATGTAAGAGGGGTGTACCGGCTAAATCTCTCTGACTCGAGGGGTCAATCCTAATACAGTACATAAGCAAACCAAACACTAATTTTCCAAACCGGGAACATATCTAAAGAAATATTACTGTACTCTCAGTACATGTATGGAAAAAATAGGGGAATAAGAGCATTGAAAGAACGCAATGAAGATATTGCACAGAGATCATATGAGGCAGTAAAGTACACTAAGACCAAGGCTCGAGAAAAGAAATAAAGTATACTGTACTCTGTACTATTATCTCAGAGAAACTTAAAAAAATTTTCGAATGATTTGAAACCAGATACCAGATGAACAATGATGTTAGAGAAATCCGACCGTGAGAAAAATTTAGGAGTCATGATAAGTAGGAATCTTAAACCAAGTAAACAATGTGTATTTGCTCGAAACAAGGGTAACAAAGTACTTGGGCTCCTACAAAGGAGTGTTACCGATAGTTACAAGACTAGCGAGGTCATCCTAAAACTATATCTTGCACTTGTGAGACCTCACCTGGATTACGCAGTTCAATTCTGGTCACTGTACTACAGAATGGATATAGAATCCCTAAAAAAAATTCAGAGGAGAATGACAAGACTAATCCCAGGGATTAGAAACCTTGAGTACAGAGACAGGTTAAAGTATCTTAATTTGCATTCCCTTGAGAGACATAGAGTGAGGGGCGATATGGTCGAGGTGTATAAATGGAAGTCAGGGCTGAACAAAGGGGACATTACAAAGGTACTCAAACTATCCAACCAGGAGTGAATTCGTAACAATGGTTATAAATTAAGACAAATTTAGATTTAGGTGCAAAATAGGTAAACATTGGTTTGGAAATAGAGTAGTGGACGAGTGGAACAAGTTACCAAACATCATCATTAACTCGAATATGCTGTGGATAGCTTCAAACATGGGTTGGATGGATATATGAACGATGGGGGGTTGGGTGTAAATGGGACTGCCCAGTGGGCCAGTATAGGCCAATAGGCCCGTTGCAGTTTCCTCTATTCTTATGTTAAACACTAGTCAATATACTTCTACATTGCTAGTTTTTAAATGGGCATCCAAGAGCAACAGCTCTCTCAACTCCAAGATTTTTCTCCCTCACTGAAAAAAAATGCTGCTTATGGTAAGTTTGATATGGGGAGAAAGAGAGAGAGAACTTCCAGGGCAAAAATCAGACATAAATATATTGTAGCCCCAAAGAAGTACTACAGTAGATTATTTCACAATGCATTATAGTACTGTACTTACACTCTTCCTCATTTGATCCTTGATTTTCCTCTTCTACTTTATTTGTTAGGCATTTTTCTTCACTTTTCCTCATTTTTTCCTTCTCTGCAACTTGCTGAGCCATAGTGACAGGATCTGGGACACCTAAAGTGCCCTCCACAGTCTCCATGACAGTACCAACACCACGGCCAACTTCTCGTGTGAAGGTGGAGGCAGCAGAGAGAAGAGAAGTACCCCAGCCGCCCCAAGATCCTCCCCACCCATCAGTACCACCTTCTGAAGACATCTAACATAGGCATAAAAATGTTAAAAAAACAACTACTACTTATTTTCCAGTAGAACAAAGGCATAAATACACATATACAGGAAAATAAACCAGCATTGATACTCAGAGAGACATACTCAATTATCCCATCCTCACATGATACGGGGAATAGGTCTATGGCAATGAGCACTAAGAATTAGGCCTGCACTGTTTCTACTGTACATACAAAACATCCAAGTATATTTTCTCTCACATGTATTACTCAGGACTTCTTTCTTTCAACAAATTTCTAACTTCATTCATCACACAATCACTTCTTATACCTAAATTACAGGTTACTGCTAAAACTATTAAGGTCTTGAAATTCATCGATGGATTATGGCAGGAAATGAAAAGCAAATGGAGATTAGTTCTACAGGTGTATCCACTTACATATCAGAATGGATAAATGAGAAATGTTCAAGGAATGTGTGTGTCTACGATTTTTGTAAATTTATAATTACAACTTATCAACTAACTTGCAATTCAGGCGGTCAGTCTGTTCTTTGTTATGAACTTTACTGTCCGGTGTTAGTATAGAAGGAAACCGGAATACCTGTAGAAAATCAGCGGTGTTTGGTAGGGACACACTGGATAACACCCTTCTCAAACCTGGCCTAAGCACAGATCGAACACAGGGGTGAGAGGCAAATGTGTTACCTCTGTACTGTACGACCAACATTTGATCACTTTTGTCTCATTCAACACAAGTTTAAGAACAACAGATCTATCTTATAGTCATTACTATTTATAGTTTCTTTACCTACATATTTTCTACATTTACAATTATTTTTTCTTCACTTCTAGGAATTTAAGTATTTCACCTGTATGACAAAATCACTGTTGGGCCAAATATATAGTAATCCTTAAAAAATTATATTCAGTACTGTCCAGACAGTTCCGAGTTACGAATTCCTGACTTACGAACACCCATACTTATGAACGGGATCCCAGTACTGTACAATATATTCAGCACAGAAATCTGTAATTAAAATTATATACTTTTTTGCATTACATTACAGTCCAGTAATTATGTTTAACATCACTTTATTACATTTACAATAGTTGTTATGTATGGGCTGGGTTGTGTTTTAACATACGTGTACCTGTATTCGTAGCTCGGGGACTGTCTGTATACAGAATAAAATAAAGAACAATTATGTATTGGCACAGACTAGAGAACTGTACATGGCTGCAGATGAAGGTGATATTAGCATTTCCTGTAAAGAGCCACAAAAACACACACATACACCCTTGATAATTTTATGTAATAATAATGAAGGTGGAGTGTAAATACTGTATACATACATCTCTCCTCCCATCATGATGCTGATGAATTTGCTGCCACCTCTGTTGCTGCTCCTCCCACTGTTGCTGCTTCTTCAGTTTTTCTGCCATTTCTTTCTCTTTACTTTTATTTAGCTTATCTACAACCTTTTGTGGCATGCTCTTGTCTACTTCACTAGGAACGTCTTTGGGTTTAATGATGCTATCTGAACTGATACTCTCTAAGGTCTTCTTCTCTACTCTTGTGCCTATTCTTCTTGTGCCGAGCCGTTCTCCAAGTTTTTCACGGGGCTTTTTCATGCCTATTTTACATTCCCGGATCGGTCTGGAACCTGAATCCCTCTTTTCAGGTACTGTTGTTTTTTCTTCTTCTGCCTTATTACTTAGATTACTACCACCTGACTTTTTCACTTCCTTTTTTCTCTGGTTAACATTTGTTTGCTTAGTTTCTTCAATTTCTTTCACTTCTATTTCCTGCACATCATCTTCTATCTGCTTTACTTCTACAGGTATCTTCTTTGATTCAACATCTACTTTGGTTTTCTCCTGTTCATCTATTCTCTTCTCTGCATGTTTTGTTTTGTTTATGACTTCTTGTACATCACTGAAGCTATCAATCAACTCTCCTTTGCCTCTTTCTCTCTCTTCCATGAATCTTGTATCTTCTTCTTTAGTTTCCTCTTCACCACTGAGGTGTAAGTCAGCATCTCTGGTGACATTATCTTCTACAATAGTGGCTTGGTGAAAATCCTTTTCTTCTCTATTCTTTTCTAAATTAAAATTTGTCTTATCTAATTCACTGAACTTCTGAACATCCACAGGAGAATCTCTCCCAGCTGTGAGAGTCTTGTCATTTTTTGGTGGTACATTTTCTATGGTCTTAGGTATAATATCATTGAGACTCAACTCACTTAAAGCTGCTCCAACTTCTTTAAAGGTGTCAGTATCATTATCTACTTCCTGTTTTATCTTCTCCTTCGACATTTTCTCCAGTAAATCAGTAGATTCAGCAGATTTACCAATATCTTGTACCTTCTGTCTGCATTCAAATTTGTTATTTTGTTCCTTAACTATATCAACTTTGTCAAAGGTGTCAACATCTGCCTCTTCCTCATCACTAGATAGTGGGATACTCTGTGGTAATAATGAGGGTGTCAGCGGCTGGGGCTGAGTCAATGCTTCCTTAACTGGTTCTCCAGGCTCAAAGCCTTCAAAATCAGAACCTTCATCTGCTGACTGGAAATCATCTTCACTCTCAGATGACATGATCCTGAAAATAAAAATTCAATATGAATTTCCATTTAATGACTATGGGGAAGAGTAACCTAACCTAACGATGATGTAATATTAAGTTTCTTAGTTAGGTTAGGATAGGTGCCTTTAGTTGGTTCATGTTATCTCAGACTAATGATACTATACTAATGTATCAGACATCAGCAATCGTTTGAATGACAACACTGCTTCAAGTGTAAAAATGTCAGTGGGTAGATGTAGGTTAATTGTAGGAAAAAAATTATGATAAAACAAAAATTCAAAAAATTACAGTTCCCTAATTTTATTTTGGTGCCCTCTCGAGGTAAGAAAGAATGTTAAGTGTTACCAAGCAATGTCTACTTAAGTTTTACCTTATATGTAAGGTTAAACTTTCAATTCTTTATACCTGTACTGTATTTATATATTATTTTGAAAATCATACATATTTTAAATTTAGCAAAATGAACCAAACAAACCTAATAACAAATATTTTGAGTCAGCTAAATATTCTCTGACTAGCCTTGGATGAATCAAATTTATGTGCCATTGTTTAAACTGTTATACATTATTGCACTGTTTATCTATACTGTATGCTAAAAAGTGGTCAAGGAAAATATTTTTAGTAAGATATCTTTTACAATATTTTCCAAGCTCCAATGATGTCAGCCCTCCTTATTTTAGACTTGGAAGAATGTCTTCAGGTTGCTGGGTCAGATGTGAAACTGTTGTAAATGATTACCAATGCTGAATCCAATGGGAATTTCTAAAATGATTTTATTGAACATACATCAATCCACCTACAATTAGACAATGCAGTGGCTAAGTTGAGACAGCACTTGTCTTTTGTCCTAAGGGTCAATGGTTGAATCCCAGGGCACCCAGATATAAGTGGGTACCAGGGTACCTCACTTTACAGTTAAGTGATGGTAGCGCCAGCCACACTCCTCAAGTGCTGAAAGCTGAAAATAAAGTGTTCCGGGTAATCTTGTATTTAACAGGCTTGAAATCACAGAAGCCTTTATTTACAATCAGTGAGTCTGGGAACTTCTCAAAGCACAATACCAGACACTGTTACATCATAAATTGAACTAAATTAGTCCATCTAACCCAATCTAATCTGAAATACTAAAGATATCTTCTATCTTGCAAAGGAAGGCAAGATAAGTGTTGCTTTTCCCCACCATTAGTGCTGTAGGCAGAATATTTTGGTTGGATCACAGCAGACCAGCATGGGAATTATATACAGTAATAATGTTTAGGTGAAGCTCAAATTTAGGTAGATTAATTTGGTTAATTTTATGGATGATAAATTATACAGTATACATAATATTTTGGAAGTCTACAGACTCACTATCTGTAAGCAAAGGCGCTCGTGATTTTATCCACCTGTTAAATACAAAATTACTGGCCCAAACAGACTGGCAAGCCTGTGCAACACATTTTTCACAAGAGGGTAGGGTGCTTTGTTTCACCCGTTTTATTAGAAGTTTATAATACTGCAGCTGCTCGGTTAGAAAAGGGGTCGCGATACTGTTCTTAATAAATAAAAGTACAATCAAATCTTAAAATAGATTCTACCAGCGAGAGGAGTAATCTTTAGAGTGGTTTTCATCCCACAAGTCAACTGACACGAGTACCTAAATTTGATCTTTACCAATTAATTTTCATTATGACTAATATAACCAACACACATGTAATTCTAAAATGTAATTCTTTTATCATGTGAGTTACTTTCACTTACTCAGCACGAACGAAAATCGTACGAAGCTGACTGAAGGAGATCAGCTGTTCAAGTAAACACGCACACGTCACAGTACTGAGGCGGCCGTGTGCTAGCAGTTTGTGACAGTCACTTGGGGTTACATTTAAGTCTTTTTTATATACAGTATTAAATTTATATAATTTATTTATATATCACACTTTACTTATGTCACTATTATTTGAAGGCCGCGATAATTGTTGGGGAAAAGCGGATGTAGAGTTCCTTGGTGCGTACTACGTCGTGGCAAAAAAATAGGGATGGGCAAACCGAGTATTTCGGTACTGATTACTCTTTAGAACCGAGTAAACCGAGTACTAATTGATTACCTTTTTGTACCTGTCTTGTTTGTCCCATAATTTGCTTGTTTCGCATGTTGCATACATCACAGATCTACATTTTGATGTATATTTTCATTAATACAGTCGCATATTATCAAGCAAGTTTTAAAATATATGCGATTTCCATTTGTTGGAGTTCTTAAGCATATTTGAAATACCACCCCCTCGTCTCACATTGTCCCCATAATATTCACAAATAACTTCATCTTTGTTTATATCCCTTTCCCAGAAGTGCTTCCAAGCAATGCTACGTGTGCGATATATTTTCCACTCATATTTTACCTTTGTAACTACCGTAACCACGATTTCCAACCGACAACTGAAGCTCGTCAACATTCAGCAGGAGCTACACACCAACTAGCAAGCAACGAGATGACAAGTCACAGTGGCTCTGTACAAGACATGTTCAAATGAATGAATACTATATCATTGGACGTTCAATGCTTCACAGTTCAATTGGATTTCCATGTTTTAATTTAGCATATAAATATATATAACTATTGAAGATCTAAAAATTTTGTGATTCAGCATTAGAGATGGTTATTTTGCGTAAACAAAGTGAGAAGTAATCACATTCAAGAACCGAGTAGGACTCGGTCGGTCACATCTCGGTTTCGCACTGTTGGTAAGTACTGCTGTACTGGTTCCAGTCTCCAGAATGTATCTGTAGTTGCGTAGCCGCCAGTGTGGCCGGTTGTTTCAAGAGTTCTCAACTCTCACTCCAAAAAAGTTTGCCTTGGCATTTTTCTGAACTTGTGGCTTCTTAAATCTGAGAATTAGTGTAATTACTATCCTAATTACATATTTGAAAATCTTAATTGTTGAAGCGCAACAATAACAAAATAACGTCACAGCGGTATTGTAGCGTACTGTATTGTGGCCAGTAGTCAATTATCTTTAGATGACTATTACTTTTTACTTTTATCCTCTTCGCCACTGATCGGCTTGTTAGCCGCTTGGGCGATCGGTCACGTCTCTTCATTTATATTCTTCACCAAAAGATCGGCTCGCTAGCCACACAACGTACGTACATGTACAGTAGATATCTCACACTCAGGAATGAGGTAGAATAGAAACTCACGATGCGTTTTCTGTATATATATTGTTGTACAGAGTAGTGCTAAGGAGTTACTAGGTGAGGTGTAGCTTGCTCAGAGTTCCTGTAGGGCGAGGAGCTCTCTGAGGAAGCTGGGTGGTGAAGTGCTGGAGAGAGATCTTGCTGGTCCTGTAGGTCAGAGTAGAATGGTCTCCCTGGTTCAGTTCAAGTTTAGAAGCTCCAAAAGTTGTTGGTAGCGAAAGTCAGAGCGGGGAAGATGACAGAGGAAGGAGCAAGAGGTTAGGAAGGGAATTGTAGTGGGAGAGATAGTGCCGTGGCTTTACACGACTGCGTTTATTTGGTTAGCGCATAGGCCTACTCTCCAGCGCCGCTGGAGAGTAGGTCTACCGGCACCGCTGGCTGTACGCTGATTGGCTGGTAGGCGCGCGGGGGCTCAGTTGTCCCTTGTAGGGGATGGAGTCCACTACAGTATCTCGCACATCACTCACTAATATGTCAAGGGTGCGAATCCTGCTTGGCCCAGACACATGTGAGTGTGACCCTCACTACCAAACAACACAGGTTAGTTTCGCGGGGTCCTGTTTCCTCCTGTACTAACACTGGATAGACCAACTGCCCGAGCAGCTAGTGAGCTGATAAGTGGTAAAACTTTAGAAAAAATAAATACTGTACTTCTGAATACGGAATCAAATAGTGCAGGCATCATTGGATAATTCTCTTTTCGTCTCAGTGTATTTGTTATTTTTGTTATCTTGCTAATTGTAAAATTATGAAGATTTAGGGTCAAGAAAGATGATGACAAGGGAACTTATACCATTCGGAGTGCCTGAGTAGTACCCCAACTCAGTGCATACTACAGCTAACATCGTCAACTAATTCTAATACTCACTAGTATCCTTATCTAGCAAAAACGCTGACGTCATAATGTTATTGCCAAGGACTATTCAACTAGATATTCCTTGGTTATTACTGTGCTTCGACAGCTAGGTCTTTCTACACATCACAAAGTAATTCCACTATAATCCATCAGTTGAATGATAATAAGTTTAGTGGGACACACACACACAGTTAACAATAACTATTTAACAAGATCATAAAATGCTCACAGCCGCTAACTATTTTGAGGTTAATAAGAAATTCCCGTTATCTCAAAAAGACTTATTTTTACATACATAAAGTTAAACTTCCCAAAACTACAGTAAAATACACCCGAACCTGAAACTCCCACAACATATTCGGCCAATTACTATACGAGTTTTTACCCACTAGGGATGGACCATAACCGCCGACTTCGTTTACAGACAGTTTTCTCTCTCTCTCTTGTTTTATTCAATTAAATTTTTGTACAGCCGTATAAATGGCCTGAAAGTATTGTGATATTTTCTAATTTATAAATAGGATTAGTAATAGATCGTCATGGCAGTTTCTCCCACCTTTGGAAACACACAGGGAAAGACTCGCTAACTATAAGTGAGATTATAAGGCCTTATGGTTGGTAGACGAGAAGAGGTGAAGTCATCCTGGTTGGTGGACGAGAAGAGGTGAAGTCATCCTGGTTGGTAGACGAGAAGAGGTGAAGTCATCTTGTTTAGTAGACGAGAAGAGTTGAAGTCATCTTGGTTGGTAGACGAAGAGTTGAAGTCTTTATAAACACACCCTCCAAACCCTTTGTGGTCGAGTGATAGAGCCGATTCCCTTGTGGTTTACTTTAGATACTAAAACAACCTTACATAAAAAATTTCTTCCACCTTATTATATATTATTTCCCTTTCTTAATACTCTAACCATAATAATAAAACAACCCATTAATGCCTTGTCAAATATCAACTATCATTTTCCTGTTGGTAAAGACGACTGACTCTGGAAATCGTATTTACATTCCATCGTCTCTATGATCACCTCTCTTATAATACTCCATAACTGTCCATCTAGTATATTTGACACAGACCTGACACACAAGGATGTTACAAGGTTAGGTTAGGTTAGGTTTATATACCAGGGGTCTCAATAAAACAAATATTGTTGTGTTATTAATTGGTCTTTCTTATTGTCATCCTGAGACACACAGGCGCGAGTGAAAACCAGACTTCTGCTGTCAACTACCAATAACGACTCACAATACCAACTCATCCTTCATATAGCAGTTATTAATGCACTATAATTCATATACACACACACACACATACACACACACACACACACACACACACACACACACGCGCTGGAAAAAAGGCAAAAAACAAAAGCCACTCATTTATTATACGCGATGTTGGCGATAATAATAGCCATGTTGTGTGTGTCTACTGCTACTGGTGATGGACAGCTGGTAACTCATACGGGGTTACAATCATCGGTGTTGACATTGGCGGGACTGTCACACGAAGGGATGTTTTGGTTCCAGTAGAGGCCATCGGCACACGTCTCCATATGAGGGGAGCCTTGGTAACACCAGTAGTACTGTAAAGTATTAGTAATGCCTAGGTTAGTGTCTCGGCTTTTATAGTAACTCTTACAAATAAGACATCACCTGAAAATTAGTGAAATAACCCGAGGGTTATTTCACCGTAAGATTAACCAAAACGAGTCAGATGTAATATTACCCTGATATAACCTACAAAACCACGGATGAAAAACAACACTGTCCCACCTGGTTACAGTCAGCAGCGGGGTAGTAGATGTTATCCACCTGACACGTCCACAAGTGACAGCCGGAGGTGTCCACGTCATCCTCCCAGTCGCAGGATTTCTTGGTGTCGTCCCACACAGTCCCACCGGCACACATCATCACTATAGAGGCTCCGCTTATACACTCCCAGAACTGAAACACACACACACATTGGTCAATACCTGTCGTTGGATAAAGGGAGAGGTCTCATAACTTTGATGCACACTGTACTAGGAATAATGTTTCATGTTCCAAGGTGAATATTACTGCATCATCTACTGTATAATTAACATATGCAGAGTTCTTCTTCCTCCAGATAGCTCAAACGAAGTCACTCACCTAAGCTACCTAACTTAACCTAGCCTAACCTCTTAAATGTACAGTATTCCTGTCTGGGGGTCTTAACTACAAGAGGCTTTTTTCTAATCTCATTTAAACAATTTAAAATATATTAAGTTAGGATTGGTTTGGTTTGGTTAGATCACATTAAATTAGGTTAGATCAGGTCAAGTCACGTTATAAGTCACAGACACCAAAGACAGATTACTGTATATTTAACAACACAGTTCTCTTTGAGTGGGTCAGTCAGCCAGTCAGTCAGTACGTAAAGGTATTCACTGAGCTGGCTGCCTAATTGAAAACAAAATACTTATGTTACTAACCTTATTGCAGTCAGGGTGAGGGAAGCAATGGCCGTCTGGAACTCCTGTACAATTTGGTTTCATGACAGGTTTCCGAGTAGTTACTGGTATGTGCTCTGTGGTGGTACTTTCAGTAGTAGTGCGAGTGGTAGTTGTTGTGGTGGTGGGAGTTGTGGTGGTGGGAGTTGTGGTGGTGGGAGTTGTTGTAGTGGGAGTTGTGGTGGTGGGAGTTGTTGTAGTGGGAGTTGTGGTGGTGGGAGTTGTGGTGGTGGGAGTTGTGGTGGTGGGAGTCGTGGTGGTGGGAGTTGTGGTAGTGGTGCTGGCGGTGGCATTGCATATCTGTGGAAATTGGATAATAAATTCAAATGCTTCCCAAAACCATATATTGAATATTTACTATAACAAGATTCACTCCCTTTTCAGATAAGGTATGATGATAATAATGAATGAATCTCTGAGAATCTACTTCCAGACCAGAATTTTAAAGGTTTATACAGATATGACAAATTTTACCCTTAACTGGATGCATTTTCACGTCACTAAGATGATGAAAAATACTAAGCAGTGTGAATCTTAGGAAAATACAATGGGTGACTTATTCACCAACACAACAATATTTACAGTGTAAGTTGAAATAAAGTTAATGAGAGTGTGTGTGTTAAATGAGGATGCTTCTCTGAGCTTGATATAAAATATATATTAAAGGAAAAGAGAGAGAGAGAGAGTGTGTTGAAGGGTCGCGGGTTAGGATGAGAGCTGATACACATAATCCAGGAGCCAAGAAATACAAAAAAAGACTTAATACTAACCACAGAATCATCGCTAGGAGGCTCCTGTATGGCTCGTTTCATGCTTTTGATGAGGGGGAAGTCTTTGTCACTACAGAAAGCGTGGAAGTCATCTGTATCGACAGTCCAAACCATTACCCCGTCCAGTCCCGCGTTCCTTGCTGCCCGAGCCTGAGGTGGACACGTTTATTTAATTCAAAGGTTCATCACCGTATCCACCAATGATAGCACAAACACAGTAAAACAGGACAGGTACAAGAATGATTGTAGATAGAGACAAACATAGGTAAAAGTACAGTTAGAGGTACAAGTACAGACACAGGGACAAGAGCTGGTACAGGGACGGTTACAGGTATAGTACGTACATGGTCAGCTCTGGGTATGTTCACAAGGTAGGGTTAATTAGTAAGAACAACCAATTCAAATCTTCTACATCACAGCAGCTTTGGTAGACAACAAGTAATACTAAGATGCTCTGGCTATTTCATATCAACTTCTTACAGACGAACACACAACTAATTTCTTCTGTAATACTGTACCATGATGCCAAATACTGCAAGAAACGGTTCCATTAAAACAAAAAGATTTTTAATTCGAATATTTAAAAAGGAAACATTAATGTCAATTATTAAAATATTAATTTGCTTATTTACTTCCAAACTGATCATCGAACTTGTTCTTTTTCAATAAATATATTTACAAGTGAGAAATTTGGGATCTAGTTGACCATCTTGAGCAATGGTTAAAGGCACGATCATCAACCATACCCCCCCCCCCCTTCCCCAGGACAGGATGTTTATCTTAATATGTGTGTAATGCCAGAGAGTTCCACCGTCATATACCAAGTAAATGGAAGGACGGACAATACCATTCCCATATACTGCACCAACAGGCGGAGGTATATATCTCAAATGTATAAACTAATGTTACTAAATAGTGAACCATTCTTGTACCCGGACAATACACAGCCCTACCGCTGAACTCTGATAACAGACCACCCTGAGCCTACACAGTCCTGACATAGAGGCGCCCCGAATCCTGCCAGCACAGTTCCCAAACCTTGAGGTAAACAGAGTCAACATCGTCGTAGCTGCACCAGATGTTGTCACTCCTGCAGTAGAAGTATGGCTCGTGGAGGGCTGGGTCGTGCACCACAGTACAAGTATCGTCGGTCAGCAATCGTTCACAGATCTGCGAGACGTGGGAGTTGACAGTATTTATCACACTGGGCTGAGAGTGATGGCCATGTTGTGACCACTCTGCTCTGACTGTTAACTATAGGTCATCCATAAATTAGTTAGTGCCTTGTATGTACACCAAACTTTATATGAAAGATGTTACTATTTTAGAGAGAGACTCACTGCAGGAGGAAGACGCTCAACTCATGGGTATATGTGCACCAACTACTGTACTTTACTGTACGGCCTAAAGAGGAGACTAACTCACCTCATTGGCTCCCAGCGTGCCAGGGATTCGAATATATGGTCCCGCGGGTCCGGGTTCGCTGGCGGGTGCCAGCATGCCATGGTTATCGATGTCATCCAGGGTATAGCAGCGGCCGTAAGCAGGGATCCCTAACACCATCTTCTCAGGCGGCATCCCCAAATCAATGTAGTAGTTTATCGTGTAGATCTGCAACATCACACTGAGTCACCACACTACGTCCTCTCACTAGCAGCACGAGATAATAGATAATATTTTGGAAATATGGCTTACCGAAACCAAGGCCTAGTTCTTGGTCACAGTTATCTTTATTTTTCGCATAAAACAACGTACAATAAAAATAGTGAACTGGCCGAACAAATGCTGGAGGCAGATAATGCTGATCAAAAGAAATGAGATTAATTTTACTTTATAATCCATATCTTGAATGTCCTGTGAGTGATGTCTTTAATAATCATCTATATTCTGCACACACAAGGAAGATGTTTATTTGTCAACTTATTCTTGTCATGAATCAAAAATCAATCACTGATTCAATGGAAAGAACAAAATTTAACAGAATTTATCAGAACTACTGTATAATAAAAAAAAATCCTTAAGATATTCATATATGACTTTATACGTTCATCTGGACCAAGCTTTTCTACATAAGCTGTGTTGAATGTTTGAATTAGAGGTGCTTAAGTGGACAGTATTAGAGATGCTGCAAATTACGCATCCCTCCACATACCGGATTACACATAAGCCTACACATTATTCCCACCCTTATCCCTGTACACCACCTTACACTCTACACACCCACACACCACCCTACACACCCCTATACACTCATCTCACCCCTTCCACACCCTACACTTTACAATCTACACATCCACCCCCAACACCTACACCCTCCCACCCCGAAGCCCCCCATCAACCCATCATCCCCCATCCCCCAACACTCACCACATTGAAGTAGATAAACTCGCCCCAGTCAAGGTAGTAGCCACAGAGAGGAGCGTTGTGGTGAGTGAAGTTCTCCCAGGCTCCATGGTAGTCGTATCCCATGACGTTCACCAAGTCGAACACCTTGGCCAGCGCGGGGACATTATAGGCGTCGTCAATGGTCGGTTTGCCTGGAGAGAGAGCCCCCGTCAACCTCAAAGGGGGACTGAACTTGTCAAATGCTTCCCGGAACTCGGTCAATAACGTCACGAAGTTCTCCTGTAGGTTAGGTAAGGTTATGTTAGGTTAGGTTAGGTTAGGATAGATTAAGTTACAGTGGGTTTAAAGACGCTGTCAATCAGGGATACATTTCCACTTGCAACTCCTCAAATTTATCCACCAAACGTCACACAGATCCCGAGGCTAAATCCTCCACCGCCATGAGAGTGACGATAAGTAAACAAACACACCCATGGGATGCCTCACCTACGGAACATTATTATCAAACACACGTGGAATGAGACATAATTATGTCTTGTAATAAAGGTAAAAGAAACAAAATATTGTACAAGCACTAGTGATAATTCCTAAGTTACACAAGGATGACAAGAAAATGTAGACAGTCTTTAGTTTTACTTTAACCTTGTCCTCGAGTACTCCCTCACCTTGTCCTTGGGTATTCCTTGTCCTCGAGTACTCCGTCACCTTGTCCTTGGGTATTCCTTGTCCTCGAGTACTCCCTCACCTTGTCCTTGGGTATTCCTTGTCCTCGAGTACTCCCTCACCTTGTCCTTGGGTATTCCTTGTCCTCGAGTACTCCCTCACCTTGTCCTTGGGTATTCCTTGTCCTCGAGTACTCCCTCACCTTGTCCTTGGGTATTCCTTGTCCTCGAGTACTCCCTCACCTTGTCCTTGGGTATTCCTTGTCCTCGAGTACTCCCTCACCTTGTCCTTGGGTATTCCTTGTCCTCGAGTACACACTCACCTTGTCCTTGGGTATGCCTTGTCCTAGAGTACACCCTCACCTTGTCCTTGGGTATGCCTTGTCCTCGAATACACCCTCACCTTGTCCTTGGGTATGCCTTGTCCTAGAGTACACCCTCACCTTGTCCTCAGGTTTGCCTCCTCGAAAAGCTGGGTACTCCCAATCAACATCGAGTCCGTCAAAATTGTGTTTCCTGACCAGAGCCACCGAACTGTTGATGAAGGTCTTCCTCTTTTCTGGGTCTTCCGCCATCTGGAGGAAAATGTCTCTCTTAGAAATTTAACTCACGCCCTTCTTTTTTTTTCTTCAGGAAATTGATAGAAACAATACCAAAATTTACCCCTTGGCGTAATTCTAGCATAAGAAACACCTGTTTTTTATTTACATGTGTTACTTCACGTTCTAATAATTGAACATCAGTGTCAAGAGATCTACCATGACAGTAACCTAACCTCACGTGACTCTACCATGAAAGTTACTTAACTCTACAATGACAGTAACCTAACCTCACGTAACTCTACCATGAAAGTTACTTAACTCTACCATGACAGTAACCTAACCTCACGTAACTCTACCATGAAAGTTACTTAACTCTACCATGACAGTAACCTAACCTAACGTAACTCTACCATGAAAGTTACTTAACTCTACCATGACAGTAACCTAACCTCACGTAACTCTACCATGAAAGTTACTTAACTCTACAATGACAGTAACCTAACCTAACGTAACTCTACCATGAAAGTTACTTAACTCTACCATGACAGTAACCTAACTTAACGTAACTCTACCATGAAAGTTACTTAACTCTACCATGACAGTAACCTAACCTCACGTAACTCTACCATGAAAGTTACTTAACTCTACCATGACAGTAACCTAACCTCACGTAACTCTACCATGAAAGTTACTTAACTCTACCATGACAGTAACCTAACCTCACGTAACTCTACCATGAAAGTTACTTAACTCTACCATGACAGTAACCTAACCTAACGTAACTCTACCATGAAAGTTACTTAACTCTACCATGACAGTAACCTAACCTAACGTAACTCTACCATGAAAGTTACTTAACTCTACCATGACAGTAACCTAACCTCACGTAACTCTACCATGAAAGTTACTTAACTCTACAATGACAGTAACCTAACCTAACGTAACTCTACCATGAAAGTTACTTAACTCTACCATGACAGTAACCTAACCTAACGTAACTCTACCATGAAAGTTACTTAACTCTACCATGACAGTAACCTAACCTCACGTAAATCTACCATGAAAGTTACTTAACTCTACCATGACAGTAACCTAACCTAACGTAACTCTACCATGAAAGTTACTTAACTCTACCATGACAGTAACCTAACCTAACGTAACTCTACCATGAAAGTTACTTAACTCTACCATGACAGTAACCTAACCTAACGTAACTCTACCATGAAAGTTACTTAACTCTACCATGACAGTAACCTAACCTAACGTAACTCTGCCATGAAAGTTACTTAACTCTACCATGACAGTAACCTAACCTAACGTAACTCTACCATGAAAGTTACTTAACTCTACCATGACAGTAACCTAACCTAACGTAACTCTACCATGAAAGTTACTTAACTCTACCATGACAGTAACCTAACTTAACGTAACTCTACCATGAAAGTTACTTAACTCTACCATGACAGAAACCTAACCTAACCTAAGCTAACCTTCCATGACAGTAACCTAACCTAACCACTTGACCCACCACGGAATAGTCCTCAGAGCCTTCATTCCAGCCCCCGACGGCCAAGAGAACGGTCAGGTCAGGATTAATTTCCTTGAGCGCAGTGAAGCGGTTGTAGGCACAGTGATCACCACCATCTTCGTCAGGGCAGAGTTCATTCCATGGATCCAGCACCTGCAGGAGAAGAGGTGGATAGAGTCACGGGATTGGTTTAAGACTAAGGAGAAAAGATGGATACAGTAACCTTGCCTCACCATACCTAACGTAACTAGCGTAAAGGTGTTTTAATCATCATGTGTTAAAAAAAATAAAATAGGAACATATATCAAACCAATATTATTCTCCAGGTGACCCGTGAACACAAGTATAGATTAATTAATTAACTTACACGTGAGAAAAACAACACCAACGGTAGGATGAAACACAGTACAGTACCTCGATTTCCCAGGTGTGGTTACTCAGGCCAGCGAAGCCAAAGATGAGTTCGGTACAGAGGAACGGATCAACATTATCCACATCGAACATGCCATTCCCAGGTCTGTACACAGCCCACGATGAAAAGTAGCATACAACTTTCTGTCCTGTTGTGGAGTGGAAGCGAGTCCAGATTATAATGTATGGTTGTATGGTGGTGTATGGTGTATAGGGATGGTGTATGGTGTATAGGGGTGGTGTATGGTGTATAGGGGTGGTGTATGGTGTATAGGGGTGGTGTATGGTGTATAGGATGGTGGTGTATAAGGGTGGTGTATAGGGGTGGTGGTGTGTGGTGTATAGGGGTGGTGTATGGTGTATAGGGATGGTATAAGGGGTGGTGTATGGTGTATAGGTGATGTGGTGGTGGTGTATGGTGTATAGGATGGTGGTGTGGTGGTGTATAGGGGTGGTGGTGTGTGGTGTATAGGGGTGGGGTATGGTGTATAGTGGGTGGTATAGGGGTGGTGTATGATATACTGTATACGTTATCAGCTTCATATAATGGTGTAATAAGGTAGTAATGGCTTTATTTATTTATTTATTATTATTATTATTAGTAGTAGTAGTAGTAAAAAAAAAGTAGTAGTAGTAGTGGTAGTAACACAGGCTATCAACCCCTCCCCACCCCTACTCCCTATCTCCCCCTCACCCCTCCTCCCTACCGTTGTACAATCTCTTCTCAGGTCGGTGCTTGAAGGACATCTGTGGGAGGCGATGCAGGTGTGGCTGATACCCCCCCTTCCTTACCCCTCCCTCCCCCACCTCCTTTCTTCTCTCTCATCGTCCATAAAAACGTAATTATTTTCTAGGTGTTATTTATGGGTGTATGAATAGTTGTGATTTTTTTTTAGGTGGAGTCTGAAGGTTTGGTCGGTTCTGCTGGTACGATGGTTCTGTTTCGTGTTATTATTATTATTATTATTATTATTATTATTATTGTTATTCATCTTTTGTTGTCTTTCTTACAAAAATTACTATTTATTGATAGAGAAATTATTTATCATGAAACTTTAACCACACAATATAACGAGATTACAGAGAGCCCACGGTGCGGAGGTCGAGTGGTTACAGGGCTCACTTCCTATCCTATGAGCAGCTGGTTCAATCCCAAGGTATACTGAAAATAGTCTTGCTAGTTGCTTTATAAATCAGTTTCATTTCTTTATGTAACAATTACTTGCTTACGGTATTTTTTTTTCACTAGATTTTGCCGTTTGTGTTACAGTGACAACATCTGTACTGAGTGTTATTATTATTATAGTAAAAATCTATTTAGTATAAAAGATAAATAAATAAATTCACCGAACGTGGCCTCAAGCATGACGTCATGGGCTGTAATGGTGACCCAGAAAGAGTATACAGGTGTTTCGTTTCCTTCTTCAGGCCTATATTTTCATCAGTTATTTAGATACTAAGAACGTATGTAAATTATAATAAAAACTGAAAGAAACGCCCAAGATTATCAATATGGTCGGTGAATTTTCGATTTTGCACCAGTATTTCTCTCGCCGTTATTAATATGTTTTTCGTAAAGTTTAGACAAGTCTAAGACCTGTGTTAGGTTAGGTTAGGTTAGGTTAGGTTTTGTTTTGTTGGTTTGTTGGTTTTTTTATTTGTGATTTACTCGAAAAAAATAAATTTTCGTTAAGATTGATGGGTGAGATCTAAAAACTATTGATTTCCGGCTGAAATGAATATAAAATTCGTTCGAAACTCATCAAATAACACTGGAAAAAACATATTTTTAATATCAAAAGACCGGTGCATTAGTGAAAATTGACCATATGGTCTATCTACCTTCCTCACACACACACACACACACACACACACACACACACACACACACACACACACACACACACACACACACACACTGCTTGTTAGAGGTCCTAACACAATACGTCTTTGTAATAAGTACGCAATTTTTATTTTTTTTGCAGTATTTAAGTTTAAAAATAAATAAATAAATAAATAAATTATATATATATATATATATATATATATATATATATATATATATATATATATATATATATATATATATATATATATGCAAGTAAATCACTGTAGTTGCGCGTGATCCAGGTAGGCTATATGCTGATAACCACAAGGAAAGAACTTCGTGTTTTCTTCTTTCCTTGTGGTTATCAGCATATATATATATATGTACGGGGAATAGCCCACCCGGGCACAGTTCATCGACCTATAACGGGGCCTAGGGGATGAAAAAATAAGAGTAAAAAGAAATTAAAAATAGAAAAGAAGACCACATTAATCTACACCCGAAGATGCAGGAAAACCAACATCCACAGAGAAACGGTGGGCACCGCGGACAAGACGAGTGACGAGTGTTACGAGCCCACGGCCTTTCCGGCGGTACACAAGATGTCAAATTCACCTAACATTGCCCGATAACATTGCCACCTAACATTGCCTGTAAAAGAGAGAGAGTGAAGCAACATTGCGGCGAAGAGAAAGGGAAGAGAGATTATCAACTAAAGGAGGAGAGTTAATAAGACGAAATGCCTTTGATTCTACCCTATATCTAACAGTTGGACAGAAGAAGAGCCACCCCAGATATGAGAGCAGTACTCCAACAAGTTAGGACGAATGAATCCCTTATAAGCTTGAAGCAACTGCTCAGGAGTGAAGTAGCTACGGCATCTGTACAGCATTCCCAGCTTTCGAGAGGCAGCTTTAGTAATGTTGAGGATGTGTGGCTTCCATGACATATAAGAGGAAATGGTGAGGCCTAGCATACTTATTTTAGAATTTGGCAGAATGATTGCATCCTGAAATGTGATTGGTAGATTATCTGATTTGGAAAATGTAATTGGTAAATACTGCGTTTTATTACTATTGAATTTAACCAAGTTTCTACCTCCCCATTCGGAGATGTTACACAGATCCGCATTGATATATAAAATGATATCAGCTCTAGAAACAGATCTAGTTTGAGAATTAGGGGGAAGGGAAAAATGTGAAGAAGAGTGAAGAGTAGAGTCATCAGCGTAAGAATGGATAGAATTGGTCGTAGTGTGAAGTAAATCATTGATAAAATGAAGGAAGAGAGTAGGTGAAAGAACAGAATCCTTTGGGACACCACTATTGGTAGAGAAAGAGTGAGAGATCGATCCCGCGACAACAACTGTCATGGATTGGTTCTCAAGGAAGCTAGAAATTAGAGAAAAAAGTGGAGGAGAGAAACCATAAGAGGGAAGTTTAGAAAGCAAAGACTTGTGCCATACCCTGTCAAATGCTTTGGAGATGTCAAGGTCCACGACGAAAGTTTCCCCATAACCCCTAAGGCAATATTAGAGGATATAAATTACTAGTATCATTATCATAACCAATTATTATTATTATTATTATCAATAACAACAGTAATAATAATTCAGTTTATAAATTATTTATTATAATATTTCCTTCTAAATGTATAGTTTATATTACTATTAGCAAAATCATAATTAGTTACTATTATTGCTATTACACATGTTACACCATTCTTCATTATCACCTATATCATCACAAGGGTATCACTATCATCACTATCATATCAACATAAATAATATCAAAGCAGTGTTAACAGTACCTTTCTCAGTGCCAGAGGCCAGAAGGGCGTGTAGCCCCACTAGCAGTAAAAGGATGCGCAGTCTCCCCATGTTAACTACGTCAACCAAGTGACCAGGCGCACCCACCACACCCTTAATATACCCACGCCTTATCTCCCAGCACATGCCTCCCTCACCTTCAAGACAGCTGAACCACTCGAAAGCTCCAGTCATGTCAGTCAGTGTTGTTGTTCATTCTGTATCTGCATTATTCTGGTTAAATAAACTGCTGTAATTTCGCCACTCAAAATTTCCTCAAAATCTTTACGTTTTCTTACGCTGAAAGAATTAAATAGCTAATTTAATTGAGAGAGATTCTTAAGTGCAATTTCGAACGCTGTTTTGGTCGTTTCTCAAGTAAGCCAGTTCGAGGCTGTTTACTCATGAGACATAAAGGCAAGCATGAACTTAGCATGCTTCCCTGTTGGGCGCTGTAAACGCTTCACCTTACACAAGGATGTAGGGAGGTGCCCAATAAAAAAAAATGAGTGAATCAATGAGAAGCGACAACACACACACACACCAATAAAAATGCAATTCACGTTAGAACCAGTGAGAATCCGGGCCGCGTGCAAAGCCGAAACAGGGACCTGATTACTCCTTCCCGCCCTGACAACAACCTCCAGATGGCGCGATAAGCAATTTCCTAGGAAAGATAATGAATTCCTCCTGCTTACTAAAAACTGGAGTAGGGCAATCCCCCTTTTTAAACGATAATTAAAGTTTACTGCTACAGCACAGATGCTTGTGCTTATGATAGCTTCCCGTTCTAAGGACAGCTACACGTGTTAAAGACAGCTACACGTGCTAAGGACAGCTACCCATATAGTGCTACAATATTTACTTGATGCCCAACTTCCGACAGAGAGAAAAAAACAGAATATAACAGACCCGATACCCAAGATCATACCCAAGTCTTCCCCTAGTCAGTCGACGTTTTCTTTAAAGTTTTCCCCTCGTCAATCACCGTTTTCTGTAAAGTTCTCTATTCGTCTGGCTATAATTGTATTTAAAACTTCCACTTATTCTCATTCATAGGTGACAACTGACAACGCCCAAGAAGAAATGTCATACTGAATGTGACAATCCTGAATTAACAAAAACAAACGTAACACACGGTGAACAGTGCTGGCAAGATAGGGCGAGGCAAGTTAATTTTGTTATCATTAGTTGCTATGATTAGGTCTACCTAGTGCTCGTCCAGTTTCTCATGAAGTAATGGTCTAAACTGGCCATAGTGAAGTACGATGTCTGGTGTGTGTGTGTGTGTGGTGTTGAGTCACTCCCACTACCACACTAGTACACCATAACATAACTTTGACCCTTTTCTGATATTATCTGGTACAACTCACAACACCCACTGTAAATCGATTCATTTAGTTCAGATTATCAATAAAAACAAAATGAAACGAAAGATGCGCACGGTACAATGACTGTCAAACCTACATCAAAATACTGTCTAGTTTCTCAATAGTATTAAAATTTTTTACTTAGAAATAAGAATATAATTGTACATATGTCAGTTCCGGGGTCGTGTTGAGTTACGTCTTGGATATTTTTTTTTATTTATTTGTATATATTTTCGCTGACTGATAAGAGAACGTATTTAGTTACTGCACAAGTTTTAATGAGATGGGAAAGAGGGGGGGAATTTTTTGTTGTGTTTTGGTAGCCATTTGTGTAGTAAATTCGTAACTTCAAGTGAACCAAAATAAGTCAGTTACGTTCTTAAATTTGAGTTGAGGAAGACATTGATTGTAAACCTGGGAGCGTGACTTCATCTATGTATCGTATGTATCGTAAGTGACATCATCTATGTATCGTACGTGACTTCATCTATGTATCGTACGTGACTTCATCTATGTATCGTACGTGACTTCATCTATGTATCGTAAGTGACTTCATCTATGTATCGTAAGTGACTTCATCTTTGTATCGTACGTGACATCATCTATGTATCCAACGCATCAAGTAGTGCTGTTAATGGTGTCAGTAATGGTACAAATATGACGTCAATATGGTACAGTAATGGTGCCAGTAACATCAGTAACAGCCAAATGCCATCATCAACATAATGGTGTGATAGTAGCGTTAATTATCTATTTCCCCGCTGCAACTAGATACAGCCGTGTGTGTGTGAGAGAGAGAGAGAGGGGGGGTGTGTGTGTGTGTCATGTAAGATGGTAAACCCTCGGCCCTAGAGAACTATACACATGATTGTCACTCAACATGTGGTAAATCTATATTGTATTTCCGTCCCCCCCATAACATTAGCAGAGAGAGAGAGAGAGAGAGAGAGAGAGAGAGCTGACGAACACGGTGCTGGTAATATAGGCATTTATTACAACCTGTGTACACGTGTGCCAGGCAGTGCCATATGGTGACACCTGCGTCAGCATCCATGGAGGCACTGAAGACTTACTTCCCTTCGATAACTCCCTTCATTATGACCCTTCTCTTTCCTTCCCTTCTTCCGTAGTTTGTTCCCACTATCTCTACTCACCATCCTCCCTTCCTTCCCTACTATGTTCCCCCTACCCTTTACCCCTTACCTCCCCTTCCTTCGCTCCCTACTCTGTTCCCACTACACTTACTCATCACCCTCCCTACCTTGTTCCCACTACTACCACCTTTAACCTGCCTTAGTCCCAGGTGTTATCAGTACCCTGCAACAGGTGGTGGGCGGGGTAACAGTTCCCACCAGTACAAAGCATCTGCAACGTCTTTTATAACGCAACCTTGTCTTAGTTCATCTCATGCCGCCCACAGGTTATGCCGCCCACTAAATATCATGCCAACCACCACATATCATGCCCCCCCCACTACATATCATACCATCCACTTACGTATCATGCCACCCCTCATGACTTTGAATACACATCCCCCCCCCCTCCCCTACTAAACTTAGGGATAAATAGCATGAACAACAAAACATGCGGACACATAACACATTAAACTCGACTCATAGACGGACGAGTACACCTGACCTTGATATCAATAGTCTTATTATAGTATTATTTCTGTCAACATAGGCAGGAGGAGGAAGAGGAGGAGGAGGAGGAAGAAGAGGAAGAGAAGTTAACGCTAGTGTACCGTGCACCCTTTTCCCCCTTCCCAACCTGCAGTTTCTCAAATAATGTAATTACTTTTTTCTTGGGGGGGGGGGGGAAGAGGGAGGTCTCATAAATTGCGTATAATTGATTTCTATTCTATATATCTATAACAAAATCAAGGTTATTATACGTCATTATATAATTTTGTCAAGTATTTTATTATATTGTAGTTTTAATTCGTATCTATTGTTTGTATACTTACACTGTTTACTATTGTTTGAATACCTGCACTGTTTACTGTTGTTTGTATACCTGCACTGTTTACTGTTGTTTGTATACCCTCACTGTGTATTAATAAACATGCTAAATTAATATGAACATGCATGATGATTTTATTGAATAATTCATCGTCCTTACTTATGGTACAATGTTGGTGTTGTAATAGCAAGCATTCACGCGTTGTCAATATATAAGGTAGTGTGATTACATTTTTCTGAGACGGTCTTCTTTCCCCCTCCCCTTCAACGCTAAATGAAAAATGATGTGTTGAGCCCGTAGAGTGTGTCCCCCATCGTGGTGTGATTTTTCCCACGTTTCCCTTCCCAATCAGACGCCGTCATCCTCCTGAACTCGTAGATTTTGTCCTTACTTGGTGTTATTTTTTCCCCGCATTTCCCTTCCCTGGATAGCGAAGTAGCCACGAAGTAGCCAATCAGACGCCGTCATCCTTTCCTACATGTTGTTTTGTAGTTTTATACAGTCCATAATTATTAATCTTATGTTAGTATTCATACAGCTTAAGGTTCTCAAATTCTTTACTCTGGAGATGTTGTCTTTAATTATAAGTATTTTGTCTCTATCTTCCTCTATTGTATAAGTTTAAGTCACTCGACATTTTGTTTTCCAAGTTACACCAAACGATCATTATAATCATGTAGTAAGTGTAGAGCAGTGATGTCAAACTCAAAACCTTTCGAGGGCCAATTCTTATTTTAGTTACCCACTTCAGGGCCAACACATATTTGCAGGATTGAAGTTTACAGTTTCACACATTGCCTTACCTGGCTTACCAGGAATACCTCATTTGGGTTTGTCTGATTTTAAGTATGTAAAATTCATTTTACTAAATAAACATGATTATATCTATTTTTTTCATAATTTCACGGGATGATAAATTTTACCGTCATCCTGCGGGCCACATCTGACCATCCCGCGGGCCACATTTGGCCCGCGGGGATCCTCTACACTGTAGAAGATCCCCGACTGTCAGTTAATCGTACAGCATCACTCTAGTAGAGTTGAATCCTAACCTCAGTACAGTCACAAGTCTTTCCCCAGCTAGATGGTAAAGAGAAGTGGTGACCGAACATTGCCTTGTCACACGCCTCTGTCCCTCCTGACCCCACCACAACACAACACAAGGTCGGTATTAAAGGTATGGGGGGGGGGGGGTTGCATGGTTTATTGTGCTTGTTTGTTACTGTTTGTGTTTCTGTATGTGTTTGTTACTGTGTTTGTGTATGTGAATGAATACTTGTAGATGGACTATTGTTTGCATTTATGTGTAATAATAATAATAATAATAATAATAATAATAATAATAATAATAATAATAATAATAATAATAATAATAATAATAATTAACCGTTTAATGAAAAAGTTCTCAGCCCGAAGGCTGAAAATATACATTACATTAGACAAACATGACTTATTACATACAAAGACATGGGATGGGTGGGTCGTTTAACAAAAGCTTTCATGACTGAAAGAAGAAGGAACATGAATTGAACATACAAGTTATTATAGTTTACAGTTGATGGCCCCGGCCTGGACTGGTCATGGATACACCAGGTGGTGTGGTGTTCACGTGGTGTAGTAACTCGTCCTCGGGTGTTGATATGAAGGCCCTCACGTGGTCATGGGGACACCGGGTGGTGTGGTAGTCACGTGGTGCAGTAACTCGTCCTCGGGTGTTGATATGAAGGACTGTACGTGTGTGTACGTGTGTGTACGTGTGTGTGTGTGTGTGTGTGTGTACATGCACATTTCTACATGGGTGGACGTATCTGTTAGTGTATCAAGCCCCTGACTCTGCAAGCTCTTCATCACGACTAATCCATAACACATCAGGAACATTATTTTCCGATACATTTCACTCCTCTACTTAGACATTGAGTCTTGCTGATGTCAGGCCTCCTGCACCAAGATCCTTTAAGGAGTCACCCAAGCGAATATCGTTTGCCTTGCGCGTTCACCTACTCACACACACACCTGTCCTTCGTTCCTCATTAAACACCTGCCTCAGCGTCCAACACCTTCTGAAACAAGACCAATGTGTGTTAAGAGGACATTTGGCTGAATCCTCGTGTTTACAGGTAGGGCTGAGTGCTGAGTGGAACTTCCCTTTCCAGGTTGGTGTTCGCTCACGTTTAACCTAACCTAACCAAAACTAATTTAACCTAATTTAACCTACCCTAACTTAACCTAACCTAACAAGGATTAAAAAAAAGGTATATTTAGTAGAGATTTCAGAAAGAAGCAGAAACGGATAATAAAAATCTTACGATGCAATTTGAAAACAACCATTAAAACACTTAAGGAATAATTACTTCAATAGACGTTCTTGCTTCATTAGTCAACTTCATTTCCATTGCATTAAGCTTCGCAAGGACCAGCACAAACATTTCAATTCCGTAAAGGTGTCGATTTGGCGAATTTTCTGGTCTCTCATTGGACCATCCGATTGTATGACGTCTTTCTTTCGGCTCTCAGGGGATCATCGGCTAAGTGACGTCATAGGTGATGAGGGTATAAAAGGGGTGGCGTCGTTGGATCATCGTCAGTGGGTCTCTGCACATCATATAGTGAAGGTGAGATCCTATACTATCTATAGCCTGTGATGGGCTGTACCTCCCGTTCTCACCGGCCCGTTTTTATAACACTTTCTATCACAATATTTCTTCACTATCACCTATCTCTCAGTATTATCTGTCTCTCATTATCACCTATCTCTCACTATTACCTATCTCTCACTATCACCTATCTCTCACTATTACCTATCTCTCACTATCATCTATCTCTCACTATCATCTATCACTATCATCTATCTCTCACTACCATCTATCTCTCACTATCATCTATCTCTCACTACCATCTATCTCTCACTATCATCTGTCTCTCACTACCATCTATCTCTCACTATCATCTATCTCTCACTACCATCTATCTCTCACTATCATCTATCTCTTACTACCATCTATCTCTCACTACCATCTATCTCTCACTACCATCTGTCTCTCACTACCATCTATCTCTCACTACCATCTGTCTCTCACTACCATCTATCTCTCACTATCATCTGTCTCTCACTACTCTCTCACTACAACTCTCACTACAATCTAACTCTCACTACCATCTATCTCTCACTACCATCTATCTCTCACTACCATCTATCTCTCACTACCATCTATCTCTCACTACCATCTATCTATCACTACCATCTATGTCTCACTATCACCTATCTCTCACTATCATCTCTCTCACTACCATCTATCTCTCACTATCACACTCCTCCATTACACCAACTCTCTGTCTCTCTTCACACACACATTTATCAACAGGTTGCCTCTTCCTTCTATTTATTACCTACGTCTTCTTTTATTCCGTATATATATATATATATATATATAATTTTTTTTTACCTTAAGTGACTCGTGTGTTAGGTGGTAAAGAAGTCATCTGTCAGTCTGCCGGAGTGATATCAAATGGCAGCCATCTTCCCTAGAGACTATGATATAATATTTGCTGTATAATTATATATTTATTTCTGTCCTGTCGAGAAAGTTATTTTTTTGTGTTTATTTCACATTTTTGTTGAGTGTGAAAATACATCATTAATCAAAGGTTTGAAATTCCTCCCTGATGCGTGACGTGATCAGAATCTGTTAGATCTGCCTCTGTAGTATTGTGTGTGTGTCTCTCTTTAATATCATACCTGGCTAATATTATACTTGTCTCGCATGTCTCTAGTATTATGCGTGTGTGTGTGTGTGTGTGTGTGTGTGTAAGACTTAAGATGCAACCTTACAGAGATTCTATCCACGCACCACTCATCCCCCTCCCCCCCACTCCCTCATCAATTCCTCTTCCTGCAGAAAAACCAACCAAGTCATCAGCAATGTGGCGGAGAGGACAGTCGTCGCTGGTGTTGGTGACGGCGGCGATGCTGGCGGTGAGGGTATTGGGAGAGACGCTGGACACTCGTAAACGGATGGTCGGGGTGCCGCAAACCCTGGAAGATGTCATCCTAACCAACTTTATCGAAACATTAATGTAGGTGCGCGCGCGCGCGCGTGTGTGTGTGTGTGTGTGTGTGTGTGTGTGCTGGTTCAGCTACATAAGTTTGAGATTGCACAAAGAGATAGTCTCAAAGATTCGTACTAAGAGTCTGAGAGATTCGCATAGAGAGAGCCACACTGAAAAGGCTTTGAAAATTCGCTCTTATCCACAATAAAAAATACGAATCACCTGAAGATTACATCTCATCTTATTTCACCTGAAGATTACACTCCCTAAAGCTACCAGTGAGGAGGCAAAGGTTTACGTAAAGTTAAGTTAGGTTAGTTAAAGTTAGGTTAGGTTATGTAAAATTATTCTAGGTTAGGTGAGATGTTATGTACAGCAAACAATTTAATATACAGTAAAAAAATAGTATCAACATTTCACGGAAAGTGAACTTATAACTGCATACTTATACTTAACACAAGTTAGAAGTCAACATCAACAAACACTTAGCATATCTAACGGTCTATTATATTCGTTAGGTGAAGGTGGAAAGAATTCACGTGTTTTAATTAATCTTCTTTTACCTCCTCCTCCTCCCGTTGCAACAGAGATTTGGGCGATGGCCGAAGGATGGACCTTCAATCCGTATCGACCAGCGAATCACTCAACGTCCAAGGCTCAACAGCTTCAATTTCTGTACAGTTGTCGAAAGTTTGGATTGAAAATTTGGCTAATGTGACGAGGGTGACGGCTGGCAATCTGGACGAGGACACGGTAAACACAAAATTCACATGTTATCTTGATGTGTGCGTGTGTGTGTGTCTTTAAATTCACATATAAACATACGCGAATGGAGAGCGAGTTTGGATGGATTGTGCACATAGATGATTCTCTGGATTAAAAAAAAAAGTATTGTATATTAGTAAATGAAATATGACATTGGGCACTTAAGTCGTTTGTTGGTAAGTGGTGTGTATGTGCTGGGTGTTATAAGCAAGTTTAAACTCTTCCTTGGATCACCCTGAAGATTAGGCACCCTCAGCTTATTTCACCTGATTATTAAACACCCTAACGCTACCTGATTAGGTTAAATTAGGTTAGATTGGGTTATGTAAGGTTACTTTAATTAGGATAGATTGGGTTTATCATTAAATTAGGTTTAAGGATTGTCCTATCTACTCATGACTGACTTCTTAACAAGTTTTCTCTGTGTTGGCTTGCAGATGCTGCTGTATGAGCAAATATTATTCAGTTCTCTAGTGCTGCGCGCCACCTACGATATCACATTCCCTGCCGTGTCCATAGCGCCACAAGAGACAGCTCGGGGTGTGCTACGTATGGTAGCTTCTCCAACGCGCGTCAATATGACGTTCCACCTCGACGCTGACTTCCTACCTGACGACATAGTATCTTGGGAAGCTGAAATTCTCGGCTCGCAATTTGAGAGTGTAAGTTACACAACATTAGTAAATGGAGCTATGTAGTGTAAACTGTCTGCATTTTTTTACACAATTTTATTCGTATTTATGTTTACAGAGTAATGGGATAAGTTTGTTTTAAATATATAGCTATTTATTACAGAGGGTTATAATCTTCCCAGTGACTTGCGAACATCAGTATTTGTGTTACAGCATTACCTAAAACGTCACGAGCCTCTTGAAATAGTGCTACTAGAGAAGGCTGAATGGAAGTTATACGGATATGAAAATCAATGAACAAGTACGAAGATAGGTAGGATCACTAAGAGAACTGCTAGAAATTTATAAGATAAGAAACCCGATTAATTTTGACAATAAAATTAGGAGAATTATTGAGGCTAAAGGGAGGTCAGGAAACGACAGTGGACTAGGAGTTGGGGAAGACTAAAGGCAGCCCAGAAAACGTTTCAAGAAAGCCCGCCAACCCACACACATAGCCACGGCACCTTAATTGATTATTTCATATGCAATTAAATATGTAACCATAATATATTAAAACTTCATCCCTAAATGTTTTCATGTCTCAAAGGAATATATACCAGTGTTAGTTGTTAGTATCCTCCAGTGTTAGTAAAAAAAAAATACCATCTTTTGAAATGTTAAATTCAGTGTAAGTCTGCGACTTGAACATTAACATTCTAATCTGAGAAGGACATACTCTTTACTGTACTGTTTACCCCCTTTTTTATTATTATTAGTATTTCTCTAAAAACTATCAATCAAATGTTTTTTCATGACTACTATTTTTTTCTAATTGCGTTTAGTTCAATTATCATTATACTATAGCGCGTTTTTTCCCAGCTGAGAAAAGATGCCCTGCCCCCTCCCCAAGAGTTATAGCTGACTGGCTGTTGCAAACCTGTCCGATTTTGTCCTGAAGCAGAGGCGGGATATATGACTGCGAACAACTTCATATTTTTCCTGCCTGTGCTGACGGTCGTGTAATATTTCAATGTGATTCTGATCTTTTAAAGTGTTGTTTTTGCATAATGTAGTATTTCTGATACGTAATTTGTCTTAGTATGCCTTATTGTGGGTAAAAATAAGTATATGTTGAATGCATCTTCCGAAAGCATGAGTTTGCTACCGGAGTTTAACAGATAATTCATGTATAATACTTCTGATAAACTTCCTACTTGCTTATGTTTTAAATAATGAATGTATGTATCTTTATATAATTTAGCTAAATATCTTTCTCGTCAAAAACGGTCATCCCAACGATTATGAATAAACTCATTTAGATATACATCACTACTTCAGGACAAAAAATCGAACAGGATTGCAACAGCCAATCTCAGCTGTAACTCTTGGGGAGGGGGCGGGGCATCTTTTCTCAGCTGAGAAAAAACGCACATTTTTATAGTTAAGGACATCGCCATTGCTAACCAACAAGTAAACCTTGAGATTTTTTTTAATTACTTGGATAAATAAGTTGTTCATTCCGTAAAACTTTGTGTTTTAACATAAATAGGTAGATATACTTTCATAAAGCATCATGGATTATCCACAGTCTAATGATTTTCTCTATATTTATGACTGTTAACAGATCACAGGATTGACAGGCAAGACGTACGGAGAAGGTTTCAGGAATGTGTTGTATGACGTCACGAGAAACTATATTATAGCAACGATAAATGCCGAGGTCAAGGAGATCTTCGAAAGCATACTGGATGAAATTGCATTTGACTCAAAATAAATTTAGGTATGTAATAATGCCGCATTGTCCTATCATGAACTTCGCGGAGGAACTCTACGAGAAAAGATTTACCTTCGTGGAGTGACTTGATAAACATTCAATCAATACCGACGGATACGACGCCTGCTCTTAAGACATGGATGGCTCTCCCTTGCTGACTTCCTGCCGACGACACTTGGCCTGCTGACCTGGACACGCGACACACCTCTTATCTTGTTCCATTTATACATTGTTCCATTTAAGTATGCGAGAATCCATCAATGTACATGTACAGTAACTATATCAATGTATTTTATTTTTGTGATAATTATAAGTGCACCAGTTAATTATAAAATAAAAGTATGAACATCGCCTGTGCCAGTTAATTATTAATAATCTTAATTCACCCAAATTATATACAGAAAATTTATATATCTAAGTTTTTCGACAAAATTATTATGTCTGGTTCATTAGTTAAAACAATAACAATGACACTGCTACAAAGTATTAACAAATTACTGTTTTGCATTACATTCATAGTATATGAAAGTGGGTCCCATGGGCATGACTGACCGTGTGGATACAGCACACTGTATATTAAGCCTTTGGTACACAGGAGGCAGCATGGCCAGTACTACCCACTCGACTGCCTTCACTTCCCTAAGTTGTGTACCCATTTACAGCTGGGTGAAATGGGACAGAAGGCGAGCACTGGATCCACTAGACCGCCGCGCGACGATCTATACCCTTTATAATACAAAACAATAAGAAACATCTTTAATTGTATTGGATAACTGGAACCTGATTATATAATCGTAACTAAAACTCATGAGGATGATTAAATACTATTTCTACACATACTTGAAACGGCTATGACAACTGCTGAATTGCCAATGTTGTGTTTCGCTAGATGGCACATTAAATGAGTGACAATGATTTGAAAAGTCTTGAGCCTTATTCAGATTAACAGCGGGGACAGGTTTACTGGTTGATAAGATGATCCTGGTGTCTGTCCCTTAAAGAAGTGGTTCTCAACCTTGTTTGCCCCATGCACCCCTTTCACCATATGTCAGAATGTCATTCCCCCCTCCTTTCCAAGATTGTCTGCCTCAAAAAGTGCATTCCAAATAATATGCATATAATACTGAAAATCCTTTATTTTTTCCATATTAGTATCAGTTCCCCCCCCCCTGAAAACCTGAGGGGGGAAATTCCCCCTTGGTTGAGAACCCCTGCCTTAAAGCATGAAATCCTCGTTTGTGAAGTACACGTGTTAATTTGTACAAACCTTACTGTCTCATTACATCACGAACAAACCATTTGAATACATTTCAGACCGACACCCCCTACGTCGGAACATTCATAAACTTTTCAAGTGTGAAATGAATTTCTCTTCCCAAATCGACTCGGTAACAAATACGGGTGGCCACACACCCGTGCTAGGTTTTCAATTATTTTTTTGCTATAGCCGTGTATGCCATAGCCTGTGTACTGTACAAGAGACTGCCTTCAGCACGCACGAGGCTGCCTTGATCTCAGATAACAATGGTCAGTACAATTGTTAGGTTTGGCTAGAATTTGTTACGTTTGGTTGTTTGTCCATCTTAAGTTAGCACATTCAATAATATAGAGTTCACGTGTATTATTGATTGAACTTAAGATGTACAGCGGTTCACTCGCGCTGCAGAGAGGGAGTGTAGAGGCAGCCAGCTGCGGTGTATATACATTGTTATGTGTTGTTTACCAGCAAATTTACAGGACTTGTGGCCATATACAATGTTGATATAAACAGGCATACCTTATTTTTAGGTTAAAATAAATTACTGCTCAAGTATCATCGTGTGTATTTACTTGCTGGGTGCCAAAATGATACAAAAGACTGACAACTCCAACATGGAAGTTTTCATCACTGTTTTCTATTTCATGTCTGGAAAATGTAAGTTTTCGTCTTTGATGTCTATATTTAATGTTGTGGAAGGACTAGGGATGACCATGGCCAGGGGATGGGCTTGAGATGATCAGAGATGTAATTTAATGTGCTTCATAGCTGGATGGCGGAGTTCTTGATAATACTCGACAATCATAAAGACATCTACTTTTGGTAAATTTCTTTCATCTGCCTTGATGGACCCTGGAAGTAGTTGTCCAACCTTCTCGGCTGATCGGCTCAAAATAAATATTATTAGATAATTACTTGTGCTTTACTGTGCAACACTAATGCTAAATTGAATATATAAATATTCCTAAGCACATTAACTAATTCAATGGATATTAGCTGCCCCTACTACAAATTTCATAGTATAAACATTCCAAACAATATTGGTATTATTTTGGTTTTGGTCATCTGGGGAACCTTAAGATTCTGACTGTGGGATTAACAAGACAAATTATCTCTACAGGATTTCTATCGCAAAAATTTTTTCTATCGCATAAGAAAATACAGGTCATATGTTGGGTTAGGTTAGGTATGATAAGTTATATTATAAGTTATAAGGTTAACTTAACATACACCGGTAAGGAGGGGTAGTAACTCAAAACTAGTGATTTCCGATAAAAACGAAGGTCAAAATTGCTCATAACACACCTCAAACCACAAAAAAAAAACATAGTCTGCATGTCTAAGTACAGGAATGAACAAAACTTAAAATTTACCCAATATAGCCTATCTCGAATCTAAACATCCAAATACTTGTGGTAGTTTAAGTAAAATTTTACCCATTAATTAATATAAATGATGACATCCTAGTGGTTCATTAGTGAATCATCAAAATAATAACAGCACTATGTTGTCATGTTTACCGAGCATCAGGCATTCTCAAAACAAAGTCCAGACAATGTCATTACTTCTCAATTGACTCGTATCTCCATCCTAAAGCGATAACGTCATTGCAAATGGCGGCCCTGTTTCTAGAGAAATACATTTATCTCGACTATTATAGCAGGACTTTAAACTTTTATTACAAATTATATATACCATATCACTCTACGAACGTGGCAGAGTGTATTTCTTGTGTTTACCCAGAACCGTTAACTCGTCAATTGACCTTCTGGTGAATGTAACCTTATAAGGAAAATTTGTGTAGGAACTCCAGCAATCTAATACAGTGGTCCTTTCTTCTGCAATCCAGTCTTTGATGATTTAAAACAATGTTTAATCAGGTCTTGTCAATACAGCGTTCCCACTTCTGGGGAATTTGTCCCCAGATTGGGAAATCTGGACACATCTGGGGACAAATCTAGGGAAATGGGCTTTTTGGAGAATTTCTGAGGAATTTTGAATATTTTGGGGAATAACTAGGGAATTTGAGTGTGTTTGGTTTATATAATACCAATACCAGGTCTCTGAGTCAACATCTTTCCTGAAAACATGAAGAGGGAAAGTATTGTGGGGCTACTACATGGAAAGGAAGGATTGGCATCACTTGGGATACCTGCTGATCAACTGAATTTGTACGATCATCCAAAACTGCTGAAGCTTGTGCGAAATGTCAAGAGCGATGCTTCCGATTCAGAAGCTCATCAAATCATTGTTGATATACTCGTCATAACTCATAAAATATCATAACCTCTAAATAAAGTGTTGGAATCAAAATTACTTTTTTTTTAATTAAGTAGTTAATTTGGTATACATTTATGTTTTGATGGATTCTATACCTAAGATTAAGTACCGGTAAATACTCGAAATGTTAGTGGAGTGTTTACTTTTGTCAGAAAAACCAAAACAATAATTTTATTTTGTTTCTGCCACAAATATATTAACCAAATATTAAATAATAATGATAAAACACTAAAACCACAACAATATTAAAAACAAAACTTTGATCCAATCTAGGGAATTTTCAACATTAGTCTAGGGAATTCTGGGGGTCCGGACCTCCTCTTTTCACCAGAAAATTCCAATACTTTTTCTTTAATGCAGTATTGTACTCAGGCATTTTTGTATAGTAAAAACTATTTACGATTAACTTCAGAATATATCCTAATGTCAAGTGCACATGTCTTCAAAATGGCCTCAATATGCTGGGTGGGCTCGCTGCGCTCGTTATGTTCCCCCACTCAAACTTCTTGGACCCTTTTGATATTCCTGGATCCGCCCCTATTTTACTTTTATTTACAGAATTTGACCTCGTTTCTTTCAAAAACGATTTCTGAACCTCTAAGTTTCGTAGGATTTTCTTAGAAATGTTAGAATTCGCCTGTAACAATACCATTCTGATTTTGTTGTTATTGGTTTAGTTTCAACCTCCGCGGTTTTAGAAGTTGCCTAATTGTCTATGAACTAGTAATCAAATCAACAATATACTTCATTGAACCGTAAACAACAGACGGAGAATTAAAGTACAGGTATAAACTTAAAGGCAGATAAAGAGCCTGAAATCATACCTGAAGTGATGAGATGACCATAACTAGACAAATCGCAGATGTGTTCCACACTGAGTCCATCAGCTTCTCTGCGGGAGTTTCTTGGTTATCGCTTTGGCAAACGGCTGTTGAATTCTTATATGCATTTCACAGAGCGTTTTGCTTTAAAAATTAAGCAACACCATGTATGATTAAAATACTGTACTTGGACAACACTAAATATACCAGCAGCGAATGTTTTTCTGCCTCTCAGCTGATGGTCGCGTTAAGGAATAAGACGTCACGGTAAATAAACACTGGTCTAAACTGAGATATAAGTTTGTGGATTTTTTTTTCATCAGTGATTTTTTTTCTACTGTAAACTAAAGGACTATTTTGTAACTGCCAAAGTTTCTACTAAACACCTTTATCTGCACTATACAAAATACTATCGTTGCGCTACCAGACGATTTGGGGAAATGCGGGTAAATATCGTACATATTAGTTGTGAAACTAATATGCGGTAGTAGGTAGTAGGCAGCTACCAAACAGGGAGGTACTACCGCCTGGGGAGATATTGGAAGCATAATATGTTGTCTAATGGTAGACCCTGCTGCTATATGGCACCGCAAAAATTGTGACCAAGTCCCAGGTTGCTGATCTGACTTTCTGCCTCATTTACACACAATTGCAGGTCTCAGTTGTTTCTCTTGACAACACAACATACATATAGAGTTTCTCACTATTATTTCTTTTCGTTTTTGTATTTCTTGATAGTTCTTTATTATTATCATTATTTTACTTTTTATTATGAATTTTATTTACTATGAATAATTATTACATCTTCGACCCTTTAGCCCCAATGTGGGTCAGTTATCTGTGCCCGGGTAGGCTAATCCCCGAAAAAAAATAGAGTTCGCGAATAAAGGCGTCTAGTGCTGTCTGAGAAAGTTTGTGACTTGTTACGGATATGATTCGTGTATATTGTACATACAATATACTAATAACTATTTCCTAGCATGAACTTATATTATTTACTGAAAAGAGGAAGATATTTTTTATCACCACTAATCAACTCACTTCTTTATTCTTGCAATATGAGTGATAATCTAGCATGGGTGTCTGCTTTTAACAGACAATGTCAAAACAAATTTCAGAGCAGTTTTTCATGAATGGCTGTACTGGTCTACTACTGTATATGATTGTATATCTAAATTTCATAGTAATGTGTTAGTAACAATTTTAAACAACTGATTTATACAACTTTATTGAAGAAATATACAAAATGAGTAGAAAATATTCCTTACCATTAATAATAAGAGCAGGAGAAAAAACCATAATTATTCATTTTATTACTTACACATTAAATAAGACACAGTGTGAATTATAATCATTGTGCAAAAAAGGAGCAGGATTTATGTATATCTTGTGTAATATAAGCAATATTAAGGTATACATTAAGGTCTAACACATATCATCAACACTACAGTTAAATAAATGCCGGCCTCTATCAAGTGGCTGTCGTGGTCATAAATGCACTTGCTTGTTGTGTCAAAAGCAATTAAAGTGAATGAAAATCACTTAGTTGAGCATTTAAATGTCATAAATTCATTGGCAACAGGTAAAGTTCAGAAGACAAAAATTCTTGATGTTCTAAACACAATACTGTACTTAAATCTTGATTGTCTGGTAGCCATATTATAAAGAACATTATGCTGTTAATTATCCCACTTACAACTTCCTCCATATATCAAAAAGCATTTATCTCTTTACATATGCTATTTCATCTATCTGAAGAGTTGTGGCTGGGGCATTAACCTGTGTCAATAAGCATTTACAAATCACTGGTGTCTACTTGGTGGCCGAGTGGGAAACTAACCCTTGGTGGACATCTTCTACACGTCACAGATACTGATCAAGAATTTCTCGCCTGTTGCACACGATGCATCATAAATTATGGAAGCGAATTACCAATATGTTTTCAAATTCATTTTACCAAATTATGGTCTTCAAGCTAAGTTTTAAAGTGGTTCTCAACATGTTTTCGCTGATGCTCTTTGGGATGTTCTTACCGTATTCTTAAAACCAAACTTGAGTGGGAATCTGTACTTGAATCTGATTGGTCACACACACAGCACCATCTCTCAAGGATGGTTGTAGATTACAGTAGTAGATCTTTGGCATTCATATTAATATAAGTAGAATTTCTTTGGCTAAAGCTAGAGAATTACCCTGTATTCTCCGTCCCCAGTATCTTTCATACAATGACTTCACTATACGTTTTGGTCCTAATATTTCATCTAATTTTGAAGTGTAAATCAGTGAATATTAGTCACTAGTAAGGATTATCTTCCTTGTTCACTCCTCACCTCTCATCTACACAGTAAATTGTCGTCCTACTTACTGTGTTGTCTACTTCATTCAAACCTTTCCTCTTGGCTTCTCATAAACATACTATAATGTACCGTTCTTATTCTGAGCTTCAAAACATTTCTCTTCTTTAATCCTCCTCATTTCCTTTCTAACACTTATTCTTCCTGGTATCACTATTCATTGTCTTCAATCTTAACTGCGTAACTCTCCTGAACTTTTAATATTCCTTGGTTTCTTCCTCAGTGTGGTAACTTTCCCATCTTCTTAATATTCATGGTCCTCCTCTCCCTCCTGGTTGGAGTCTTGGGCTACCTCTTCATAGTCATGCTCCAGTGCTGCCAAGTCTTCACGAGCCTCAGCAAACTCACCTTCTTCCATGCCCTCACCAACATACCTGCAATACAAATGTGGCATAATTGTACAGTAATGAATTAAGATAACATATGTTAATACAATAAAAACACTGATAAAAAAGTAATGCAATTTTTTTTATAGGATGGCTGGAATCAAGATGAAAACATACACTTTCCCTCCATTTGTTGTCATTTCATCTCTCTTACAGCCAGACATTACCCACTACTATTCATCAGTGTCCTAGGTATTAGGAATGTTCAATAACTTTTTGTTACTGGCTGTTGTGGGTTACTGCTGGCTATCCACAGGTTTTTAAATGCTCCTGAATATGTGATAGTGGTAGAGTTATACCCAGACCTAAAAGAATGTGCATTTGGTGTTGTCAAAACATTCTCTGTAACAGGTGTGACCTGCTATGGTGTTCCCCTTCTACAACAAGGCCCCACTTAATACTTTCTCTTTACCTAAAATGACTCTAACTTCTCACAGTACTCACCAGTGGACGAAAGCCCTCTTGGAGTACATCAGGTCGAACTTGTGATTAAGCCTGGCCCAGGCCTCGGCAATGGCTGTTGTGTTAGAAATCATGCAGACAGCTCGTTGGGTTGGAGCCATATCTCCATTGGGGATTACTGTGGGAGCCTGATAGTTGATCCCAACCTGTGAGAGAGTTAGTGTGAGTGAGTGTTAAAAGGATCACTGTAGGAGCTCCCTCTCTTAGTTGTTTCCTTCACTACCACACTATAAAATAAAGACCATAAACACAGTAACACAAGGTAGCACTTACAATATTCCTTAATCACAACAGTCATAACATCTCTTAACACTTCTGTAGACTCACAGCCGTCGTCAAAACTCATGATTAATTTTATATTTCTCACTTATCAAGTTATCATATTCTATTTCGGCAAGAAAACTATTTTGAAAGAATATACTGTACAGTACTTCTCTACAAGCTTCAACTAATGGGTGCAGTATCAGGGTTACTGACAGGCTAATGGACAATAAGACCATAAGTGAGGGAAACATCCAAAGTTGTGTTTTTTTCTTTATATTTAAGGTCCAAACATTAAAACAAGTACTGTTCAGTTTATTGTTGGGTATAGAGTACAGGTACAATAATATCCATATCTTGCCTTGTTCACGTACTGAGACCACTAAGCAATATATTCTCTAACATGCTCAAGCTCCTGGTCATATTTCTTGGGTGCTAACATCACTCCTAAATACCTGTTGTTAAGTTCCAACATCCAAACAACAGAATATGATGCCGTTTATGGAAATTATATGAAAGAAAAATGGCCTTGAACTTTCACAACTTAGGAAATAATTTTACTTTATACTGTATATGTATTTCATCTCTCACGAGGCCTCTCTCTATTCACCATTAGGTCTCTTCTATTTATCAAAAGGTTTTCCTATCCACACAAGATTCTCAAACTATACTACAGTACCACGTAGATTATTTACCTTGAATCCTGTGGGACACCAATCAACAAACTGGATCTGTCGCTTAGTCTTAATGGCAGCAATGGCAGAGTTGACGTCCTTGGGAACAACATCTCCACGGTAGAGCAGACAACAGGCCATATACTTTCCTGCAAACATTACTGTACTTAACACCGGAGAACACCAAAAGAAACTCTCATACTTTTCTATACACTTCTATCATCAATACTGGAGTATGGGGATAAAGTGTCATTTACAGATAGTTCATGACACTGAGATAAACTGTCATGTACTGAGTTAATGACACTGAGATAAACTGTCATGTACTGAGTTAATGACACTGAGATAAACTGTCATGTACTGAGTTAATGACACTTGTTGGTTAAGTGGCATCACTCACCTCGGCGAGGGTCACACTTCACCATCTGGTTATTGGGCTCAAAACAGGCGTTGGTGATCTCGGCGACAGACAGCTGCTCATGGTAAGCCTGGCGAGGGAAGACAAGTTAGGATATACAGTAGTAGACATATCAACTATCAAGACATTCACTGAACTTTTCCTAAATATGGGAATATCTTCGGCATTAGGAACTCCGGTTCTTGTAATCAAAATATACACAGTACAGTATAACTTTATCTTTTATTCCATTTGTATTCGTTATCTTTTACTGTTTCTTATTTCTAGTATTAATTTATCTTCTAAAGCTCAATGAACTGACCTTCTCGACACTGAGGACTGGAGCGTAGGTCACTAGGGGGAAGTGGATACGTGGGTAAGGCACTAAGTTAGTCTGGAACTCTGTCAGGTCCACATTGAGGGCACCATCAAACCTATGGGTATGTCATACAGTCAGAAATGTTCACACTCATGATGGCATCGAAAACTGTTGTGAATTATCTACTAAAGTACTTATTTATGAAATATATAAGAATTCCATTACTTTATAATCTACCAGAATGAGACTTTTATCTCCGTTGATTCTCCACTGGTCATTTGTGATACTTTTCGCTCCCTTTCTTGATAAAAATATGATAATTTTTCCCAACAAGAAGACATTATGAAAATACATGTACACCTTGTCAGTATACCTGAGAGAGGCAGTGATGGAGGACACAATTTGACCAATCAATCGGTTGAGGTTTTCGTATGAGGGGCGTTCAATCCCCAGGTTCCTGCGGCATATATCATAGATGGCCTCATTGTCAACCATGAAGGCACAGTCAGAGTGCTCCAGTGTGGTGTGTGTCGTAAGGATGGAGTTGTAGGGTTCCACCACTGCTGTGCAAATCTGTTTGTATACATAAAAATAAAGATAAACAAGACATAACATAAGAAATTAATGAGCAAGAAGTTACTGTACTCAAGAAATAAATGAGTTGCTCGCTTAATAGTCAAGATTTAGTGTCATATTAGAGTCACTTCCTAACAAAATAACAGATTAAAAAAACGTAGCTTTTCAATTTGTTTCCATGATCACTAAATATACTTATTTGTGATAAGGAAAATTTGTAGGGGAAATTCTATATCCGACTCAGTATTTTTCACAGATGATAGGTCCTACTCCAAGAAATTCCTGTCACTTATACTGAAGTAATTCTCTCCGAGGGAGTTGATGCTTGTGGTACAGACCTGTGGTGCAGGGTAGACAGTAAATTGGAGTTTGCTCTTCTTGCCGTAGTCCACTGACAGCCTTTCCATCAGGAGGGAAGTGAAGCCAGATCCAGTGCCTCCACCAAAGGAATGGAACACCAAGAAGCCCTGAGGAGTATCAAAATCAATCCAGAGTACAAACAACACTGATTTAAGATCGGAATTACACTTAATGTTTGACCAAGAACGCACAAAGAAAACTGAAATTTTTTGATGCACTCGAGATAGATTAAAACAATGCCATCCCTCCTACCAGCCACTTCTCTTCACGATGACATCACTTCCAACAACACCTACCAGCCTCACCCTTCACCACACCACCCACAACACCCTCCCTCCACGCCTACAACCCCTACTCATCACCTCTCCCCACTCTCACTATGACCTCTCCCCACTCCCACAATGATCCTTCTGCACTCTCACTATGACCCCTCCCCACTCCCACTATGACCCCTCCCCACTCTCACTATGACCCCTCCCCACTCTCACTATGACCCCTCCCCACTCCCACCCACTATGACCTCACCTGGAGACCTGAACAAGCATCAGCCATCTTGCGCATCTTGTCGAGTACGAGGTCGACCTGTTCCTTGCCGATGGTGTAGTGACCCCTGGCATAGTTGTTGGCGGCGTCTTCCTTCCCGTTGATCAGCTGCTCTGGGTGGAATAACTGGCGGTAGGGTCCAGTGCGAACCACGTCTAAGGGAGAGAGAGAGAGAGAGGGTGGGGGGAGTTAGTGTGTTTGTTTGTGAGAGCTACCCACCAGAACCACGTCTATGGGGGAAGCAGTTCAATGGTTGTTTAAGAGAACCACCTAGGGAGGTCTAACGGCAGCCTACTGTGAGGTACAGTTGGCTCCATTCCTGCGTTTACCACTTATCGTTGTCAATCCTGTTTCCCTGAAGTGTGAACCCCGAACTCTGAAGTGTGAATTCAAAGCAATCGCTAGTGAGCGGGAGGGAGACGGGAGGGGACTGTTGGGATAAGTGTCTATCTGTGTGGGGGGGAGGAGGGGACGAGACACTGTGGGGGAGGACGTGTATATCAGTTGGGAGAGATTACAATACAGAATAATGCTTTTACACTACCGACAAGGTTTCCCCAGCTGAGTGTAATCCTCTAGCGCTAACCAGATGAGAATACTAAAGTTACAAAAGGATGAGACGGGGATATATTCATGCTCTAAGTAAGGTGTTTCGTTGCAATTATGATCAAATGGATTATGTATATGTTTTGTTTAACCCCTTGACTACGAGATGGAACTTCTCCAGCTGAATTAAATCGTCTGGCGGTAGTCAGAATAAAATAGATAAGAAGACATCACAGTGAAGAGATTAATTAGCAATCAAAACAACCAGGAAGTGGACACCACATATTTATTATAATACAAATTGATGTGTACAAAACTAGTTCAGTTGGCAACAGTCATAAATATGTGAAGTCTACCCAAAATGTTTTTGTAAGGAAAAGATTTCTAGATGTGTAGTATAAATTAAATATTCAAGATGTTTAGACCAATGTTTTGTTTAAAATGTTTTTTCTGATTTTTCATGGTTATGTCCATCACTGTCATCACTGTATTGAAATTCAAATATTTCTTATCTAATGACGTCTTTTAAAATGTAACAACAGTCGTCAAGAAACTGATCTTTAAAAGTTTTGAAGCAGTGAATCAATATACAGTACTATATAAAATATCGAAAACTTGAGTAGTACACAACCATAGAAAACGAGTGGGTAATATTTTAGAAGGGGTAACTTCTCTATGGGTATAGTGGCCACTAACCAACAACGGTAGGTTCCAGGTCCACATAGATAGCCCTGGGAACATATTTTCCTCGACCAGTCTCTTGGAAGAAGGTGGTATACATATTTTCCTCCTGTGGGGCGTCCTCAGCTGCAATTAGGAAAAAATATAACTAAATACACAATAAAATAAATAAATAGTATTTTTAGAAGATATTCAAAGTTCAAACTACTCAATATTAATGTGTGAGTTTAATGTTCTCTGTATATGGAGACAACTCATGGAGGCATACCCCCCCCCCCCCAGGCCTCATTATGCAAATGAATCGAGACAACAATAAGGTGTTATCTCAGTCACAACACCGGAATCAAAATACAGATTTAGTTTCTCGCTAAAAATTTGAGGTAATGTGAAATCAACTTTGTATTAACAAGTTTGGTTAAGTTTGTTTTGGCTTGGTTAGGGTTTGGTTAGGTTTGCTTTGGGTTGTTTAGGTTTATTTTGACGAAGTTAAATCAATTAGTTTAGGTTTAATCCGGCCAGGTGTGTCTTGGTTAGGTATATTTTGGTTAGGTTAGGTTATACAAACTTACCAAGGTGACCGTCGGGCTGGATTCCATGTTCAAGGCAGTACAACTCCCAGCAGGCGTTGCCCATCTGCACGCCAGCCTGCCCAATGTGCACGCTGATACACTCACGCTGAAAATACACATGTACACATTGAGTGATCAGATATACACATAGTGAATATGTGGAGAAAAAAAAGAGAGAGAGAGAGAGAGAGAGAGTAAAAACACGGAATAAACAACGAGGAAAATAAACGAAAAAGTACAGAAAATTCCCCATAATAAATGCTTGTCACATATCTCTTGTATAAACTAATACTATTCCACAACAGTTTAATATTAACAGTGGTCGGCCTGACGAAAAAGGCAAAATAGTATTCTAATTTTTGTGAGGAAATTATACTGCCATTTGGAAGAACGAGAGCATTGGCCGACCCCCCCCCCGTTCCCCTTGAGTCACGCGCGCGCTAGACTACCCTCGTGCTGGTGCAGACACAAGCATGGACTGATAATTGAATATACAGCAGGGACACACCCCTCTCCCACCACGACACTGTTGAAGGGCAAGTGTAAAAGAGACTGAGAGGCAAGATGGGAATTATGCATCCTCACAAGGGTGTTCTCTCAGTTATGTAGCGCCAGTGAAATAATTTGGTGCTTTTGGGTTGACTGCAGCCTAGTATTGATGTCATGAGAAGATTTTAACCATATTTCCTTTGCTAATACACTAAAATTTTAAATTCACAAAGGTCAACACAATAACACACACATAGATAGCTGTACACACAAACCGTTAATATTTTCTTGAAGTTAACATAGTTTCATGCCTTCAAGTGGTATAAATATCTGACAGATATACTGTACGGTAAATAGAAAAAAAGTTAGACATGCGAATAGAGATTGCCAGACAGACTGGCAGGTGGCAGGGGGAGGGAAGGCGACAGATGTGATGACCGAGCTGTCAATAGCAGCAGTCTGGGTCACCGACTCATGGGAAACTCTTATCAAATATGAATAAGCTTCGATTTCCCAAAGCTTGATCAGTGTGTCTAGCGTGTCTGCGAGTGGGGCTGTAAGTTACATGTAATGTTTATAATTATTATTATACATAAGGATGTTTTATATATAGTAGCCAGTCTAGCGTTGTAGAGTTGTGGCTCAACATTTGGAAAACAGATGGTAATACCACGTGTGTGTACTGTGTCGTCTGCAGTGAAGTTGGGTTTGTCTAGAGTGGTCTTGTTTTTCTTCACACACACATATAGAATTTTTTTAATTATTGAGATTTATTTCAAGCTATTTCTAGCAAATCAATGACTCTCAACAATGACCTTTCCTTCTTTAAGGTTTGATCAAAAGGGCGATGAGACCAAACAGGTATAGTCCAGTTTTAGCGAGACCAAGTTTCCCGAGTGGACGTCCAAAGTCGTAAATAATCTAACATAAGCAATTATCTCAAAGGTCAGTTTCCACTGGGCGGCGCTGGAGATAAGGTTACACAGGCATTTAAAGGGCCGGTGTGTAGCTAAGGAAACCTCAAGCTGTACCTTTAACCTAGCAGACAGGGAGAGAGAGAGATGGTCACAGAGCGTGATGTTGGAGCAAGGCAAGGATGTGTACACTCACTGAGTCACTGCAATTCATGCACTGCATATCTTCGCCCCAGTGACCATGGGTTCACTCCAGATATATCGCCTGCCATATAAACACATTAACGTTATTGCGATTGGCATTAGATTTCTATACCTAATGTATTTAAAACGCAAGAAAAGGTGGATGTGTAAGAGAGTTCAATGTATGCGGGGCGTTGCAGCAGCTTCATGCTTCAGGAGCAGCCAGCGTGACTGTAGTCGGGGGGGTGGACCAGGGTACCACGCACACCCTCCTCTTTGGGTTGAGATCTTTTTGTGTCCTATACTCCTCTTTATCAATGGAGGACCAACTCCCTGAAGGTATCACCCACCTCCTCAATACAGTCACACTCTTCTGTGTCCCAGCTTCCGTACCACCAGCCGAGCGCCAACACACCCCGTACTATACCCATCTCTTTACAACACTGTCCACATAACTCATCACCCACTCGTCTAGCTACACCGCGTGGTAACTTATGCACATCTATACAACTACGCTTTCCGTTATTACACCAATTTTCCAGATAATTCGGTTTCGTAAAGTTTTTTTTTTGGATATGTAACAGCGCTGAAGGAAGGGTAGACTAATATGATACACCACAAAGAAAACTCATCTGAAAAAAAAAAACACGATAACTGCAAATATACTATAATGGAATTAACTGTTATTCACGTTCTTGTATTTTCCTTAAATTGAATAAATAAATAGTATAAATTTCTTTACAGTAAAAAACAAAACATATTCGGAGTCTGTGCAACACTTTACTTACACATAACGCAAAACAGAAGGGAACAGCCAGCCATGAAAAGATTTATTAGGTCAGAGATTGTACTAGGATAAAGACAAGTAACAGACCCACACATCCACACCCCATATTGCGCTGCTGTACACTCATACCTGTAGCTTAACACTCATTTTATACTAATTCTTAAAAGTAACTGGCGAACGTGTCAGTACACTCAGACAAGTAGATTAAATTCTACACGAGTAAATAATCACAGTGACTTTTGTAAGATCTCACCAAAGTGTAAGAGACGAACACGTATTGCATGTTTGGTATAGTATGTATGTATTTATGTATGTATGTATGTATGTATGTATGTATGTATGTATGTATGTATGTATGTATGTAAGTATGTATGTATGTATATACCAAATAAACACCTAAGAGACATAAGTCATATAGACCTCATCAAAAGGGTCTTCTTGGTAGACGAAGAAAGACAATTACAGGTGATACGCTTGACAGACGACAGGAAGTGGAAATATTACAACACTTACCATATTTATTACAAAATGATCATGGCGACGTTCTTATTGTCAGTGCGAAAATTACACAAAAACATACAGTACGGTGATAAAGTGTAGACAATTGTGTAACCTTAGTCCATGCACTGACACTTCCACCCGCAGATACATACACCATTGTTTCATTATATTGTACAGTTTTTAAAAGTTGGGGTAGAATCCAAACTTGTATTCTGGGGGTACAAAAACCTTAGCTAACAAAATATGTTATTACATTGTGACAACGTAACAACTCACAAAGAAGGAAAATTACGATTTCCTGTTAATTACAACACCGAAAACATTTTTAATAAATGTAACAACAAAAAATAAACATATCTAGTTTACGTCGAATCTCCGGGAAATAGTTATATATATTTTTTTTTTAATTTGTCTTTGTTTTAACTTATGTCAACTAGTAGTGGTCTTACATCATCAGCTACGAGGAATATTAGTCATACCAGCTTTCCAGAATCTGTCTACTGGTTGAAGGTCGGAGGCATTTACTTCAATTCTACACATTTTGACTTCGAAGACAAAATATCCAAAGTGTCAGTCAATTTTCTCTTACGATACTCTTAGGGCAGCAAAATAGATATGGTAAATAAACTATTGTGAATTTATAAGACGATTTTATTGAATAACTATCTATATTATCTACCTGTGTCTCTATCTTGTAAAGTGACACACAATATATTATTTACACTTGAGTGCATGTATCGTGTCGCCGTCCGCCATTCGACACCAAGGTTAGCCAAGCCAATATGAGTCTGCTTCTTTTTCTTCTCAATTTTTGTCTCCATCACAAGGTTATCTGTGCAGCTTGTTCTTACGAAAGGCTGTGTTCTCTATTTTTTTTTTCAGGATACGTGCAGCGTCACTTTACCACATGACTGTCATTTTCCTAAATTTAATGTGCATTGTAAACCTCAGATGACGATAAATTTTCAACTACAGGTAAAATGCAATATCACTAAGATGTGTATTAAGAACGGAATCATTTTATACACACACAGACATATCCTTCAAAACTGGGAAAGGTAAAAGGGATGGGAAAGGAAAAGACGCCATCTGAGAGAGAGAGAGAGAGAGAGAGAGAAAGAGAGAGAGAGAGAGAGAGAGAGAGAGAGACACGGGGGGCCAGACGTATACAATTTTCCGAGGGTGTCGTTGGTCCTATTTTAGAAACAACGACCAAACCAGAGCACTAGGGAAGGGGGATTCCCCCTTTGTGTTGACAACACCTTCCGACGGCTCATTTATCTCCCTCTGTTTACCTATGTTATTTCTCCAGATTCTGCTCCTTTTTTCCTAAATATTTACACACCAACGAGTTTTTTTCATTACCTTTAAGAGTATTAATAGCACAGTTTACTGAGGGGAAATACTGAAAAATAAGCTCCAATCTCTGTCAATAATTCAAGACCTTTACAGCCCTCATGCGTCAGATGGCTCCCGCACGTGTCATTTCCGTTTTCTTTGTTGAAATATTTTTCAGGCGTCGAGTCGAAGGAGTAAGTTGATGCTGCCACCTTAAACCAACACTAGTGGGGGCTGAGAGAGAGAGAGTTTTCCTAGAACTGAAGACTTCCAGATTTCCTCCCAATTAATCATTATGAAATAGACACAATACTAATACAACACGGTAAACAATACACACACATAATAGCTCTCGTGTCACCTTTAGATCCCAGCTTGTACAGTAGTCGACCCTTTAAGAAGACTGTCACTGTATCAGAATATTTACCGCATGACTCACCTCTCTAACCTCTTCCTCCCTCACATTAAATCTCCTTCCCTCCCCCCTCTCTCCCTCTTCCTCCCTCACATTAAATCTCCTTCCCTCCCCCCTCTCTCCCTCTTCCTCCCTCACATTAAATCTCCTTCCCTCCCCTCTCTCCCTCTTCCTCTCACATTAAATCCTCCTCCCTCTCTCCCCCATTAAATCTCCTTCCTCCCCCCTCTCTCCCCTCTTCCTCCCTCACATTAAATCTCCTTCCCTTCCCCCTCTCCCCTCTTCCTCCCTCACATTAAATCCTTCCCTCCTCCTCCTCTCCCTCCCTCCTAGAGTTCCACCCTCCTCCCTCTTACTAATCTCTACCTCCTCCTCTTTCTTCCTCTATCTCTTCCTGATCATCTTACCCTCTCTCCTTCCCTCATATTTATCTCCTTTCCCTCCTGTTACTCCCACCCCACCTACTTCCCTCTCTAAGT